TCACGTAAGGATGCAAGTTGTCGGTACTGTCTGGCAGAAAGCAAGCAAAATAGTGGACAGTGACGTGGCGACCAAAGGAGGACCGAAGCCTTCCTACAGCAGGGCTGGAACTCATGAAATGTACTTGGGAGCAGCCACGGGAGCAGCTGAAACAGCCGTTTTGGAGCAGGATGGGAGCAGCTAAAACTACATTCTGGAGCAGGCTAGGAGCAGCTCAGGTAAGTTTTCAATGCACTTCAGCTTGTGTCTTAGACAAGCATGGGAGCAATTTCAATTGTGCTTAGCAGCAAAGATGAACATGAGTGTTTAGAGACCTAGGTAGATGGGATAACAGTGTAACAGATGCGAAAACTTGAAACTTTGTGAGCCTTAATGAGAATCAAAAGGCAAGTATCATATGTTTCTGAAGATAGTGTCCTTGATATTTTCTGAATGGCTTACAGTTGCTCAAAATGCAAACAAGCACTGCTTATTGCACAACCCACATGTGCTCAACATAGTAATTATATGCGCGTACCACGTGAGTCGCGCAAGCAACGGACGTGCAGTTGCGTGGAGGAACAGGGTAACAAATTTCAAGTTTATCTTATAGTGCAACTCAATATTGAAGCAGCAGACTACGATTAACGGAGTTATCATATTCGAAGCGATATGCAGGAGCAAGGTTAAAGTACGCCGAGCAGCTCTACCACTCGCGTGAGAGCTGCTGGCCGGCAAGGTTTCGGATCGGATCGCGTTTTAGTTCTATCGAATCACGATTTATCTTGAGGGAATGCGGTTCCAACTTCTAACGATGAAGTACTAAAAGGTATCTTCTACTCATTTGTTTTCAACTGGCTGACATCCGGATCCCCGGCCGCAGAGCCTCAGGCGATCTGACGCTAAACGACTTGCTGCCGACTTGTTGAACCACTGATGGTTGAAGAATAACAATCCAGTCGCAGGTGCTGTAGCGCTAGGAATACGACCCCCAAATTTTTTCGCACGCTTCTGACTTAAGATACACAGGGAGAATAAACAGAACAAAGGATTGCAAGGCCGACCAAGCTAAACGCGCTCATTCTTGCCAATCGAGTCGATAAAAACCGAAACGAAGACAAAATAAAATTTTTTTTTGGCGCATGTTTTGCGATTTGGTGCATGATGGCACGAGGTACTGGCTGTGGCGCAGTTTCCGCAACATGGCGCAGGATGGCGCAGACAAATGCGCCTGGCGCAAAATGGCGCAAATGGTGCAGCCGTTCCACCTCTGTACAGCCACTAAGAATGGCAGAGAGACGCTGCAGTTGTCCCGCCTTCGACAACGCTTCGACCTCTCATGCTCCTCGAGTGCGCATGTGCAGCCGAAGCAGGGCAGAAGGCATGAAGCACATGCTCCCTGCGTTCTGCCGTGTCCAGTATAAACATCTAACCCATCCCACAGGCATGAGAAAAGCAGAAAAGCAGCTTTTCTTCTACCACGTGGCTCTGCAGCTGCACATGATGCTCGTTACATCCCACCTTTGAATCTCCCTGTCCCCAGGAATTCCTGGGTTCAAATCCCTCGATCAAACAACCGCCGGTATCGGCTCAATGACTGCACAAAGGTCGTCAAATCATAAATCGCCAAAAAGAAAATATTGCCAAAACCATGTACTCGTATGCCGGCACACTGAAAAACACAATTATTGCCCTCAAACGCGCGACACAGGAAAGAAAACAAAAACTCTTCAGCAACTATCAACGGATGGAGGCTCAAAAACGTGTGGCGGTGTTCTGGCGACTGCCCTTAACCTAGCAACAGCAACAGGCTGATCGCAGCTTGAACAGAACACGCAACTGAAGTCGACAGTAACTAGCACCTGCATAACGGGGAGGCTTTCTGTTCGTGACATCGTATCCCCCACCTCTCCAACAGCTGCACCGTGTTTGGTGAAAGCACAGAATGTGCGCAAGCTACATCTACATGGGACACATCCTTTTACAATTCCTAAAACTAAAAAAGAAAATGATTTCCCCTTTTATTTTTGCTTTAGTTTTATAAAGGTGAAACAGGAGGCTGAAGTTCTATCACCCATGGTGCCCATTCCACGAATCGAAGGACAAACTATAAGTGTCCAGATTCCAGCTGCAATTGCCCAGGTCATTCACATATGGCTGCAGTTTATGTCGTAAATCCAAAACATATTGCAAGCAGATGCGGGTGACGCAACTGCTCGCAAAATGCAAACTCTCTCTCGGGCGTTTTGGGAAGATAATGACGAATCTTCTAAGCTAACAAATTGAGCATCCAAATTAGGACTCCAGAAATGGGGTGCTCCCATACTCAAAGCGACGCCAAAATGCTGGGAGGCATAGGCGCCGGCTGCGAAGGGGCTCGGGTACTTGCCAAAAAGCTTAGGAGAGGGAGGGGGGGGGGGGGGGGGGGCTCCCCCCTCCCTCTCCTAAGCTTTTTGGAAAAGCAAGTACCACCGCCTCCGGAACCTCTGGGTGCACCTCATTAATCTCATCTGTGCGCCCTGGTGTCCGCACATATCGATAGCTGGCGCCCAGTGGATGAATACAAATTCATCTGTGCGCCCTGGTTTTGCACTTACCAACAGCTAGCGCCGGTGAATGCATAAATTTGTCTAACTATTAGTGCAGTCCTGTTCAAAGACCCTATGTAGTACTAGCAAATTCAATAAAGGCTAGTGTTCGAAATTCCTTCCAAAGCCATTGGAAGTATGTAGTTGCAAATGATGACAGTGGCACCTCCAGCGGACCTGCAGCCTACGGAAATAGACAACATGATGTTTGGTAAGCCCCATTTTGTTTTCCCAAACGTTGAAGCAATTCATTACGGTCAGTGCGCTTGAACCACGGAATTCACTGATCACAACTGCAATGACAGCTAAAATATAGGGTCACAAAACCAGACATTTGTTTAGGTATCATGCCGTCAGCATGCTTATCCTACTTTATCCAGGGGATTACAACGTTTGGGACGTCTCTTTCAAGGGACGTCCCAAAAGTTCCCCAAGGAAGAAGGTTAGGGGGAGGCGGGGGACAAGAAGCCCCCCCCCCCTCCTTTGGGATATTGAGAACTATCCGCATATGCCGAGAGGGAAAGACACTTGAAAGATACTTCAATGCAGCGTCGCTTCCGAGGGCCTTATCTAGGGATGCCTCATTTTTCTCGGAACGGAGGGCAAACGTTGGAATCCTTCTTAGCACGCGCTTGTTCCAACAAATGGACAAGGTAAAAAAACATCAACCTGCCTTGAAGTTCAAAAGTAAAACATTTTCTGGCATTTTTGAACAATCACTGTCCATGAAATGCACTCAGGCACCCTTTAGAATGACGAGTTTGTTCTCGGAGCTTCACACTACATCTTTAGAGGTGTTCTTAAAATGCCTCTCTTGAAAACATTTTCCTTTCAACTTAGACCCGAGCATTTCGCTATGTCACCAGTTGGTCTACCTCTAAGGAGTCTTAAAAACAAAACCAGGAAATGCAACCTTCAAGGATTAATGAAACAAAAACTAAATTGCAAAGACAGCTCTTTTTTTCTTTTTTCTCGCTTTGGCTAAACGGTGCTTAAAATAAACACCTCATGCTCATAAAAAGCATGGACCAAGAATTGGTCCTTGTTTGCACGTGCTGGTTCCAACAAGAAGTGCATTTACAAATTTATGAGGTTTACCCTCCATTTTCTCTTCAAATCTCTGTTATAGCTTTTAAAGGGACACTGACACCCCCCCTCCCCCCCCCATTTTTTTTTTTTTATGCTTGGCAATTTATTGTGGTGTCATAATACTACTCAATCAATATGTTGCGACAGCGTCACATATATTTTTAATAAAGTAAAAAAGCGCAACTGCTCGAAACCAAAACAGTCACGTGGCTGAGCAACTATTTTTTTTTTTTTCGATCAACATATTTGCAACTTTTTAGAAGCAACAAAAAATGGGTATATTTTCTGTCTATTTTTAGTACTGAGTGTGTGCTTTCAATGACCCACAACTTTGATTATCTTTGGTGGTTGTGTCTAAACCATAGAAAACGGCACGTGACCACGAAGAAGAGAGTGAGCACGACTCAAACAGCCCACTTCTCAATCGGCGGTTTTCGGGGGAGAGTAAAAAAAACACATTTTTAGTTGCAAATTGTATGCAGGGTAGTTGGGCTCTCAAATGCCACGTACAAATAAAAACCTTGGCGGGCATAAATATCCTGTCAGTGTCCCTTTAACGAAATAAATAAGGAAATTATCTCTTGGCCATGGATTGGATAAGGATGAACTCTTCATATCTAACAATCCCAGCATAGAAAGCTGGATCTAGCCAAAAGAAAGAGAAATACAAAAAAGCCTCAGCACGATTGTTGTAGCACCCCTCCCTCTCCGCAGTTTTTTCTCACCAGTCTTCTAATCTACATTTTGTGATTTTCACGATAGATGGATGGATGGATGGGTGTTAATGTACCGTACGCTATAAAGGGTGTTAACCCTTTATAGCGGACGGTAGCTTTCGCCACCTATCCTAAAATTTTAAAACCAAAAGTATAATTCCTCTCTTTGCCCTACTATACCATATTGCTCCTGCAAAGAAAAATGGTCTAGCTAATGGTTGGTTTAAAATAGAAAGCATTCCCCCCCCCTCACCAGTTTCACATACCCCTTTAAAAAGGGTGTCTGGGACGTGTACCTGACTTTCGTGTTCAGCCTCCTATTTCACCCACGCATCGAAAGTTCTACCAAAGTGGCAACGGATGACGCCAGAAAAGCCGGGGCGTCACGTCGTTGAACTCCGTGATCCCAACAATCAGGCATAGATGTCGCAGGAAAAAGCACAAGAATGCAAGCGTCGCCGTCGTCGCGACGTTTCGACTCCTGGCTGCCAAAGCTTCCGCGGACTTTCGAGCTGCCAGGGTCGCGGGTAGCGACGGCGTGGCACCTCTACGACGACGTCGTGCACAAATCAAGGGACCATTTTTTTAGACCCGGTAAACGCGCCGGTCAGAGACGGACGGTTCTCACCTGCGAGTTGAGGGGGCGCCCCTGGGGCTGGCCGGCGCTTGCGGCGCGAGGGCGCTCTGCGCGGCCCTGAGCTCCTTGTAGCACTTGGAGCAGTAGCCGTCCCACTCAGGGTTCCCGTAGAAGGGGCAGCCCTGGCGGCACTTCAGGTCTCGGTGCATCTCGTGCAGCAGGCTGCCCAGCTTGCGCGTGTCTGCCATGGCCTCCTCCCGCGACGGTGCCTCAAACGGGCACTCGTGCCGAGTCTGCAACGTGACCTCGTCCGCTGCCAAGGAAAGAGATTGGGCCGGGTCAACAACCTCGTGCGGCACGCTGCAGACCGTACCGTACACGGCATACAATGCTGTCAAGGCACGCTGGCTAGAGCGCGCGAGTTCGTTTATAGCCACAAAAAGAATGGGAATCTCGAAGAGGTCTTTCAGTTGTCCCGCCTTCGGCGCGAGTTTCTATTTTCGACAATGCTTGGGCGTGCACGGCAGAAGGCAACGAATGCACGCCAGGCATCCCAAGGAGATGCCATTTCCATCCTGTCAGTCACTACACTGTCGAGACCAGTTATATCAAAGTCAACGGGAATCGGAAATCACTTCGCTATATCTGCTATTTCGTTATAACCGACTTCGGTTATAACGAAGTGCAAAAGGGAATAGGAAATCGTGATCGTTTCGCTGTAGCCGCTATTAATTGACTTCGTTATAACCGGTTTTGACAGTACTGTCTAATTTGCACGCGCTCGAAACGCTAGACCAGGGGTTCTCAAACTGGGTTCCGGGGAACAAAGGGTTCCACGAGCTAGTCTCATGGGTTCCGTGAACACCCAAATTGCAACCACACCCCCCCCCCCCCCCCCCTCCATGCCGCAGGCTGCAAGGCAAGACCATACAAAGCACCTTCATTTCACTTTATACTGACATTGTGATTGATATGGTGGGGATATATGGGAAGCAACACGAGCAAAATTGCCTACAATTGTGCATCTGTTGCTTCTCGGTCGGCAAATATGGAGGAGGGGGGGGGGGGGTTCCGCGGCAGTTTTTGAGGCTCCCTGGGGTTCCGTGAGACCAAAAAGTTTGAGAATCCCTGCACTAGACCAAGCTGTGAGCTCGCACCAGCACAAATTTGACAGCAGTGCTATAACTGAAACTGTGTGTTCCCAGAGAACCGTATCTCATTACAGTGTCTGCTCAAACTGAAGACACAATCCCATTGAGCTTTCTGAAATGATCCTCTTCGGATGTTAAACCTGCTTTGTCTAGTCACTGAATGTTCCTTGTATTCCGTAGCCCGCTGCAAGCGGAGGGCCAAGTCACTTCGACCTATATTGATCAGCAGATCACGGCTGTCTTGACACCGGGAGAAAAAAAAAGAAAAAAAAAAGCAGCATGTATGCAAGATGTAAAAGCGAGAGCTTCGAACAGCCGGCGAATTAAGATTGCTCGGAACCGGATCGGCGTGTAGCTTTTCACTCGGGATTTCTCGAGTGGCCAGTGATCTAGCCCGTGGAAGGGGAATGCCGGTCCATCTGACCGCCGGCAAGCGCTCTGCAAAGTCTACCCGTGCCACGGTGGCCAGATGCAGCTGAGTAACGAGTAAATATCCGCTCCCAAAGAAAACAAAAAAAAGTGGCAGTACCAATGTGAAGTTATTGATTTAACTTCCACAGCCTAGACCTGAAAAAAAAAAAAAAAAAAAAAAAAGAATTTGGAGGTTTCAACGTTTCGGGAAAATTTGGTGGCTCCAATGCCGCTGGGAAGCACGGGCAACGAGGGTTCAGAAAAGGTTCGAAAAAAAAGGCAGAAGACGACGAGATGTCTCTCACGGTAACCCCAGCTCCAATTGAGCGAACGAGCCACTTCCGACGAAGCCATAGGGCATGGACTAGGCTGGGTGGCAAACTCAATCCGAAGGAGTTTGAGGTGACGGGTGTGACGACTACCTTCTGGGGCACCAAGAGGTCCCAGGCGACGTCGCCCACGTTTAAAGCGGGGAGCTTCTTAATTCCCCGAGTGCCGCTGCACTGATTGAGTTACAACTTTTTCGAGCCAAGCACGACGCTCGCCGTGCCTAACAAGAATCCACGAGCAAGTAATTGCAGCGGTGGCATTTCAATAGAAGGTGCATCACTGCGTGATGAGTCACAGTTCATTTCCCAGAATGCATTTGCCCCTGCTTAAACTGTCCAATAAGGAACGACGGGGTGAAAACAACCGGACAGAGGTGTCGGGAACGTTTGCATCCAAATGCCTTCGGAATAAAGGAATATCGAACTACACCGAATGCTGGAAGAATGGCGCATTTCAGCCTCGGCCGAAGCCACAGTCGTGCTCACCCCTGTTTAGCGTGTCCGGTGGACGTTCAGAGATAAACAATGAGCGGTCCGTACCTCTAATCATCCGAAGCTTCTGTGCACAGCCAGAACCATCCCCACCCACCGCGTTCACTGGCAGGACGCCGCCAAAGAGAACTGGGAAGCACGGTGCTTGTCCGAGTCGGCTTCAGAGGACGTGTCCAACTAATTAGTACCTCCCCTAGTCGAGCACAGTGTCGAGTAGAGTCACTAAATAATTTAGTGACACTCGAGGTATGGAGAAACAGGGGTTGCCAGGAGAAACGTGGGCACGAGGGTCTCCTCCAAGGGGCAGGTCCCCCTCGCAACAAAGGGAACAAAAACTGGCATGCTCCCGGAGTTCCGTGCCCGGCACCGGTCCCCGCCACGTCGTTCCCCCGACCCGATAGCGCCGCCGCCGCAATCAATCGCCGTTGCCCAAACCGCGTCGCGATAAAGACACGCGGTCGACCTTAAAACGAAGCCCGGAGGAATCTCGGTATCGGATTGGACCCGGGCATTCCGGGGAAAGCCCTGGGCACCCCGAGAAGGGGGGAGGGGGGTGCTTCCGCTGCGGGGATGCCGGAAGAGCGGGACACGCGCCCGGCGCTTCGCAACTTCCCGTTGGGGGCTACCCCGAAATCGATCCGTCAATCTCCTGTTGCGTGACGCATAGCACCCCCCCACTCCGTCACCCACAGTGCCGACAACTTTCGCAAGTCGCATGACAACGCGCAAGCTGCGCTTTTTTTTTTTTTTTTTTCGCAAACTACGCGAGCTTAGAGTTGGTGATGTCGACACACCTTCCCGAAAATGTGGAGGGAGAAAGGGGGAGTCACGACAGCGGCATCGATTAGGTGCTCTCCCGGATCAAACAGGGATAAATTAGCCGTGATCCGGCGCAAACTGGATAGTCGCTGACCGGATTCGAATGGCAGGAAGGTCCTTCAGTCATGCCCGCCTCCAGCACGAGCTCCCTGCTTTCGGCAACGATTTAGCGTCTCGTGATGCTGGAGTTTGCGCACGCGAATCCAAAGCACGGTGGAAGGCAACAAGCGCGTGCTGCAGGACGCCCTCCCATTCTAATCATGTCAGCGATGAAAATCGGCTAATTGGCGGAAGAATTGGCAGCACGTCAGACTGCGTTTTCGACGACGCGCGCTTTCCCGTCAACCCAGCCGGCGTACGTAGGCTCGCTACAGATTATCCAACGCCGCGCATTAAGCTCCGACGCAAGACGCAGAGAAAGGCGTTACCTTTGACTTGCGTCGGGGTCTCTTTGGATGGAAACGCTAAACCGACGGGCAGCTACGAAGGCGGACTTCCAGAGAAAGTGGCTCGTACGCAGCTCTGGGCTAGTACGGGGGATGCTTCAGATGTCGAGGCACGTTCAAAACACACACACTCACACAGCTGCTTGGCAGCTGCCGCCTCGCTCGTGGATCGAGTCAGGTGCGCCGCGACGATGACGAACTGTGCGTCTGACGCTGAGGAACCGACGGAAGCTACCGCTACTTCTGCGTCGCGTGTCGATCAAACGTTGCCGACGAAATAAGTCGTGCCGACTAATCGCCAATGGCTCCTTTCAGCCAAGCTCGGGTCGTGCCCCTCTAAGGTAGCTCGTGCCTTTTGACTCTGGTGGCTGGTGGCTTTAGACGGTGAAACTTACCTGCTAGGTGACGAAAGAGCCCGTGCAATCAACCATCGCCGAGTATCCGTGGAGAATTAACAGATAAACGATAACCAGCGTCAGTAGGAATGCTGACCGAGGCTGCCGAGGGCGACCCTCTAGCGACCCGACAGGACAATTTTTTTTTTGTTTTTGTGTTGCGCTAGTAGATCGGCTTGGCTCCGGAGATGTCTCTCATACTGGCTCGAACGGGGCTCGAACCAGCGGCGGCAAAGCGGTGGCGCGGCCGTCGTCGGTCGGCGGCGTACAAAATTGGCGCGTAATTCAAAATTACGCGCCAAGCTACAGTTCAATCAAAGCATCAAAATCGAATGCTCCTTTGTGACTCCTTTGTCGCATGGAACGTATTCTGTCTTGTGTTTGGTGGTACACCTGCCTGTATTGTTAACCTGGGCTAGATTGACCTTCCTGCACATTGCGTGTGCCGTGTTGGGTGCCGAACATACGATATTTACGCCGTGTCTGGTTGCGATCTTTTTTAACCTGTGAGTTACCCCATGTATGTATGGGACTACCGCAAAAGGTGAACGGGAGATCTGCTTCGGTGGATCAAGGTCGGTGCGTTGACAAGTTCTTTTTATGTTGCGGCAAATCTTCTCGCAAATGGAGGCCAGGAAGGGTTTCGGATATCCGGCCTCTTGAAGCCTGGACATTTGGGTTTCAAAACTTTTTACCATCTCATGGGGGCAGGTCTTTCTGAGGCTGGCTGAAAGAGCTGCAGTAGTGACCCCTTGTTTTAGAATTTTGGAATGTTCGGATTCAAAGGGAAGGAACCCTTTCCCCGATCGTACTTCATATCTCCAACACAAATGTTCTGTTTGGAAGATCAAGGCCAAATCAAGAAACCGTATGGAATTATCAACACGGGGCTCGTAGGTGAATGTGAGCCCCATGCAGCTTATCTGGAAATGCCTGAGGGTGGTGTGGAGGCATCCGTCTGCTGTTTCATCAACTCCAGTTGTACATAAAATAAGAAAATTGTCAACATACCTGAAAATAACGGCAACTCGCGGGTCTTTTAAAAACTTGCTGTATGGCTACCCCACATGCGGCGAGAAAGATGTCGCACAAATATGGGGCCACTTTTGAACCAATGCACGCTCCACTCTTCTGGACATAAGGGGTTACAACCGTTGCGGACAAATAATATCTTAAAACCTCCAAGAAGGTGTCTAGGCTAACACCTGCTGCATTTTGGAACTGCGCGAGCCCTTGGTTTTCGATAAAACTTCGGAGGACCTGTAGAAGCCTTGCTTGAGGGATGGAGTAATACATGTCCTGTACGTCCAAGGAAAACCTCGAGACGATGTTGTTTCCTTGTTCCTCTAGATACGATATCACTCGCTCGAGTTTGGTATGTGGAATGGGTCCGCATGGTGTATTGTGGAAAGATGTTGGGCCAAATACCTTGAAACACATGCTTGCCACGTTTTTTTTTTTCTGACACTATAGCCCGGAAAGCTTGTGTGTCTTTGTGAGTCTTGGCGGAGAAAAACACCATAAGCTTGTCATTTTTTGCGGCTTTGATCTTGGTGCAAAGGCTGGTTTGTTGATTTTTTTTCAAAGAGCTCTAAGATGTGTCTTTTTGCTGCTTTGGTTCGTTGTTCGTCAACATTTATAAAATTATTGTGACACACCCTTCTTGAAAGCACTTTAGCGCAAAGCTTTGACGTATATATATATATATATATATATATGTGAACTGGTATTAGTGTCTGTTTTCCATATTACTTTTCCGTTATCGTAACTTTTGCCATTCGTATGTTTACGGTCTTGTGATTGTGTAGTACCTGAAGAACTCAAATGTCAGTGAGGCATACTGAGAAGGATGCGAAAATTGAACAAGAAAGTTTTCTTATATTATGAAACAAGTTGTTGTTGTTAGCAATGTAGTTGGGAAAGGAAATAGAGGCAATTGTGGTGTAGGCTCATCACTGCTTCTTATAAAACAAGTCTAACGCATAAGCACTAATATGGAGTATTTGCCCCTGATTGGCAGTGCGCTTGCCAGATGGTTTCACCAAAAACCACCAAACGACTGGGAGGCATAGCCCAAATATAGCCAAAGCCGTAAAACAAATATAGCCCAAAATGGCCAAGACTGAAAACAATGATTTTTCTCACACTCATACAGTACACGTTACAATCTTTTTGTTAACCCTCAGATGCACCACCTTGTGTGTACATTATGTTACTTGTGAACTTTTCAAAAAAAGCTCCGGAAGGATGAAAATCTGCACAAAACTGGCCCTTCTTTCGTAGGTTTTCAGAAGTACAAAACACACAAAGACAGCTTTATTGTGAAGCCTGGGAGATATGATCATACATTAAAAGAACAAAATACAGAAGCAGAACAGTCACCACACTGGGTGTTTCAAACCAGAACCCCAATATCTCAGGTCCTTACCAATATCCCACCCGTCTCTTTTTTCTTTGTGAAGAATATTAGTGTTACCCATTCATTTTCACGCTATTTGATTGTGTTGTCCTTTCTTGGGGTGGGCAACGACTGGAAGGTAGTCAAGTGTTTAGCGGTGAAACTGCGGACTTCTCACTTCTCACCAAACTTGGGTGCCTAAGGATTCTCACAATGCGCACCGAAGCAGCATTTGGAGAGTTCAGTCTATGTCCGGGCAGAGCCATATGCGTCCGGGTTAAAGGCGCGCTACCGGGCCTGTTGTAATAGTGCAATCTGTTTGGTTTGCTCCACTGCGCTGTAGGGAGGCCACTTGAACTCTGCAAGCTTTGCTTCACTGAGCATTGTGAAAACCCCAAAGTCTGAAGAAGTTTGAACTGTTTCTTCTTCCTTTCTCTCGCCTCGACTAGCCAAAAGAGAAACAATTTTTTTTTTTTTGAAACTGATAAAAGTTTGAAAAATAACTAGCTGAACCTGAAAGTTCGGCATCGAACCAGAGGTTTGACAAAAGTTCGCCGCATTCTTAGAAATAGCCCAAAATAGCCACATAGCCAACCACAAATTTTGACGCCAACTAGAAAAAAATGTAGCCCAATTTCGTTATACAGCATAACCCCGTTATAACAAAATGGGATATAACAAACTAAAGGATATAACAAAGCAATCATAATTCCCCTTTCTTACTAATAGTGGGAAGAAATGTACATTGGCTATAACAAACTAATGGTTATACCGAAATAATTACTACCGCTCCTTCAACTTTGTTATAACGAGGTTTTACTGTATATAGCCCAATCTGGCAACACGCTGATTGGTCAGGTCTTCTTGACATTCTCTAAAAAAATGCGAGACTTTTTACATAGTACTAGCTATTAGCCAAGTGTTGGCACCATATTTTTATACTAAGAATGTTTTGTTCTGCTAAATTCTCATGGGCGAGTTCAAATTCTGCCGCGATGCCAAGAGTGTTGTAAAAAGCTAAATCCTTGTTCTATGCGCAGCCTCTCCTTCACAAAAGCCTGCGCTCGAGATTATTATTGCCCATTTTTATCGCTGGGTGCTAGAACTTCAGACACTGGTCTATAGACCCCTTTCAAAAATTATGTCCTACTATGATCGATCTAAGAATACTGCAAAGTGGCGTCTGCAAAAGAAACCATAAAAATGGCAAGTCTATCAATTGTGTACAGTCTCTCGGAAGTATATTATATCAGTTAGACTTTCCAGGTTGTTAGTGTTTTTTGCGCATGCCACTTTGCAGTATTTCCAGGTTGACTGCAAGAGGTTGTAATTTATGAAGGGGTCTATACTAGCTGGTATTGCGTTATGGCTAAGGCTCCGTGTTTTCAGTAAATACTGATAAACCCCGAAAATGAACCTCCGAACTGGTTTTCTCAAAATCGAGAAAAACCAAAAAACCCCAAATTAAAGTTGTCATTAAAAAAAAAAAAAAAAAAAAAAAAAAAAACAAGCTTCATGAAAATAAACTTTAAATGACAATTTTATTTTGTGTTTACTTTGAACACAGCTGCACTGAACTGACCACGAAGCCACTTGTTTGGGACCAGAACGCTTACCTCGTCTTTTTTTTTTTGTTTGGTACATGGACGTTTTTCAATTATTCATGTCATGTGCATGTTTTCTGAAGACTGGGTAATCCTACACAAATGTCCTGTATTCTTTAGAACAAGGCCCGATAAACACCGATTCCTTGTCCGACACTAAAAATTGACAATGAAAAACACTGAATCTGTGGGGAAAAATAAACCCCAAAAACACGGAACTTCAGTTACGGCCCACAATCTACCCTTCCCAGGGATCGAGTCTGCAACACGAAAAGAACTGAACTGACGCCACGTTCACATGTATAAACTTTATAAACTGGTCGAAACGTGATACATGCACGGGAAAACGAGGGGACATCGATAAATGGCCACTCTTGCACATGGTATGTTATTTCTAGGCATATCGTAGTCACAAAATTCACCGCATCCCGCAACAGCAAGCAACTCGTCTAAGGCACTTGTTCTCGAATGACCGCATAAATAGGACATCCACGATAACGACGCGAGGGGTTTCAACTGAGAAAAGATTATTAAAGAGTATTAGGAAGAGTCATAGCAACTATTTTTTTTAATGTTTTTTCAGTTTAATGCAGGAAAAAGTTTTGTTTTGCAACGTCCAAAGGTGGCAACATCTTTTTCAAACATTTTCGCAGATGTTTTGTGTCTCTCGTGCTTAATTTAACGGAGCTGATTTCTACAATCTATAGAAGCGAGTTCGGTCCACTTGGCCCATGCGGAACTTCTGAAAACAGTATTATAAAGTATCTGTGAAAATGATGCCCAGACTAAAACCACTGCAACTTGAAAATAGAAAAGCAACAGCTTCATTTCTGCAAGCAAGCTGTCCTAGGACCTTTTTGACAGAGTCAAAGAAGCTTGCAGCAGCAGGTACTCCCGATCAATGTACCCTCTCCAAAACTCATTGAGATGCAATCATTTTCCCTCTAGTTTTGTGAGATAACTTGAAGGAATCAGCCTAGCTATCCTTCATGAATACACTAACAATTTCCAAAATTAGTGATCTTGGCCGTTGCAGATGCGTGGCCCCTATCATATTTTCATTGAATAAGCAAACAAACAAAATAAGCAAACAGTTACCTTGCTCCTATACCATCCCACATTTTTCAAAGATCAAAAGATATGTCAGGTTAGGTATATTACAGCTGGAAGGCATTTTATCGTTCTTGGGGACAATAATCTGCATGCGAAGAACCGTATTAAAATTAAAACAATGTATAGCAGAATTTAAACGTCACAATTTCCACAATTTTCATATATAGTAAGCATTCTTGACACAAGAGCTCTGGAGACTTCTGCAACCAATAGTGATAGCTTTCACAGTTAACATATTCACATTCTGAAGAGCGATGGAACCACTCTCTTGTCCCCAAAGTGTTTTGGCTAGAAATCGCTCCCCTTCAAGGGTACACACCAAAGCAAACAGTGGTGTGCCACACCACAAACAAGCCGGAAGAACAGAAACATTCCTCGCCCCCATTTACGCACGGCACCAAAGCACAAACCTACGGTAACGCGAGTGCGCACGAAAGAAATAAAATGCCCAATTCATTTCTCAAACACCGAAAAGAAAAATATAACACAAATCTCGTTTGTCTCGGAAAAACAACAGCGTGAGTCAGAAGCAGGATCTCCGTAGATGTTAACTACCCAAAATAGGCCCCAAAAAAAAATCAACAACAAAGACGGTGAGTTAAATCTTTCACTAAGCCTTATCAAAAAGGAAAAAATAGAGGAATCAGGCATTTAGAATAGACACACGAGGCTTCGAATCGCGTCCGCAGATGGAAGTCACGAGATTCAAAAATTGAGGAGTCTCCGGCAGAAATCTCGGAATTTCACAAAAACTTTTGAACCATCCGTCGTCCGCACAACCACAGGCCTCTCGAAAACAGTTTACACCAAACAACCGAGGGCACGAAGGTAGCTCGCTCTAAATGCGTCGCAAGTCTCGCACTGCTTAGCAACAATCACTGCTCCGCTTGAGTTTCCGCAAACAACAACACCCGAGCAGTACGTACACCTAGCGAGCAAGAAACAGAGCGGGTACCGCCTGTAATCCATCTCACTTTAAGTTTGACAGCAGCTGACACCCGACAAGGCCAATCGAGCAGCACCAAAAATGCATCGTCACGCTGCTCGTCACCTTTATGCGTTCGCCACCACCAAGTAAATCAATCGCGCGCGGCGGATGAGCCACGATCCCGCGCTTTTCCCTGCGCGCAATCGGCCTCGCTGGCGATGGCAAACACACAAAGATGACGAGCGCCGCGACGACGCACTTTCTGGCACCTTTTCGTTGGCAGCGTCAAATCGTAGCATTGGCGGGAGTCATACTCAAAGTGAAATGGAGCGTAGCCTCGCCTATGCGGGTCGTAGCACGACGGACGTCTCGCGAGCCAAGCAGTGGGCACAAGTGGGCCAGGGGAAAGCCTCGGTGAATGGGACGACATTCGTGGGAAGACGCCTTGTCAGTCAGGCGACGTGTCCGGGCTCCTGATCATCCGGAATGCCTGCACAGAAGCACGATTGTGGTTTACGACGCGGTCCAGCTCTCGAGCGTTTCGGACGGCGTGGCTTCTTGAACCGGGCGGTCCACGAATCGTTTTACAGCAAGAGCTTGCCACGGTGGAAGAGGGGTCCTGCGAGCCCGATGCCACCATCCCACCGCTCATGCGTCGTGCGAGAGACATGACGTTTGCCGCAGAGACCACGACAAAAGTATCCGCACGCACGCCTCAGGTAAGCTGAAAGCATGGTTGTTTCACATGCGTCGAACACGTCTGCAGACTGTTTGTTCATGACAAATATGACAGGAATGTCATACGAGGAAGAAACCTGCTTTGGTGTGCAGACTCTCTTGTACGATGTATTAACAGCCTCCCCGTAGCAGAGCCAGTTTTTCCGACAGAACTCCGCACCGAGTCAGACTCGTCGCTATAATTGGGACACCAGTATCTCGAGCGACCGTGCCGGAATTACGAGCCTGAAAAATCTAACGTCGTTAGAGAAAGGCAGATATTCCGAGGTTCATCGATTGATGCGTCACTCCACAATAAATAACTGCAATTGAGATCAAGCTTGCGGTTCAAACAAATCCCTCCGTGTGTAGGGCACTGCCCCAACTTTTACAGTCGCTACGGGCGTACAACCAAACGCTTCCTCTCCGGCAACAAATGCAAATAGGGAAGGTGTTGGCGGACGTACGCCATTATATTTTCTCCCCATTGGTCCGAAACTTAGCCAGTCATGACTGGCCTCAACGTTGTTCGTGTATGTGACTAACGCCCACTCGCCTTTGTAATGCCTTGCACCTTTGGAGATAAAACAATCACTGTAAAACAACGGAGGAGCGTCCACCCACCATTCACTAAAACTGGGTTAATCTACACGTGGGCACCCGTCCGGTTAAATCGGGCGCTTAACATATAATTTGCAGAATTCTTAAGTTTCTGAAATGTTAATAGTGGGCACTCGAACAAAGTAAGTGCCTCCGCGGTACTTTACGTTATGTCGAAAGCAGTCAGAACACCATGGGGCAATCGGCGGCATTGTTCACTTTTCCCTCGAGGCTTACATCATTTGACGCCTAGCTAAATCCTAAAAGCCAGACTGAAATTAACGAAGCGATCACATCTGCTGCACACTCATCTTGTGAAGCACCAGAATCAAGCTGCCACGCAAGCTCCGCGACTTGCCATCCCGCTCGTCCCCCCCCCCCAAAAAAAAAAGATGTTGCATTTTTATTCACCGCATATATAAACTATACATAGCCAAACGTTCCGTCTCCTACCAAATGTGGCACTAACAGTCTGGACCAGACAAAGTCTTAGAACTGACCATTCTCTTGTCCGAAAGTTCTAAGTGATCGGAAACTTTCGACGTGAAAATGGGGGCTCAGTCCCTTAGCTGCCGCCGTTCGTCTGCAGGTATTCATGAGCTTTGTTGGCCACAGCTTTCACACTGAAAATATCCGAAATCCCGTACGACTTTTGATCAAGAAGACAATAAGCTCCGAAGCTTTGACGTCTGGTCCGGACTGTTAGTGCTACATCTGAGCGGAGACTGAGCTTTCCGCAATGCGTCATTTACATTTGCAGCAACAAAAAAAATGCAGCAAATTTTTGACGCGGAAGGGGGGGGGGGGGGGGGGGGGGGGACACCCAGTCCATTAAAACAACAGTCTTGTTGAGACCACCGGGTCGGCATTACCACCTTGTTGAGGGCGACGATCCAGAGCGCCCCCGTGCCAGCCTCTGGTCCCGGCGTGACGCCCAGATGCACGACCACTTGGCCCTCGTGGTCAGACTTGTAGCCCAGCACCACACCAGTCACGCCGCCGTCCCCGCCACCTGACAAAAGCAAAGAAACCAAGCTTTCAACATGATCTGCTTTCCCTAGCGGATCAACTGTTTTAGAAATGACTAACGTCATCTGGCAGAAAACAGGGTTTGAGGACTCCGAGGATGAAACAATGCGTGGATTGGGAAGGACAGGGAAGAAGTGCTTCAGAATGAATTTGGGGGTGAAAAGATGAGGTACAATAGGAGCAAAAGAGGCTCTGGGGGAGCCCAGTCCAGGTCACTGCAGCTCAATGGAGCCGGAGGGATCCTCCTTCCTCGGTCGAGGGAATGCCTGCATTCGCCTGGGCCCATGCTCGCATATTTTCGTACCATAACCTCCTGAACCGAAGCTTTCCTAAAAGGGTCCTTTCTTGTCCCGACATAACCTCAGTCAAAACTAAATTAAGTGAACCTTGGAAGACACGCCCCACAAGTGCTTTTTGTTGGTTCAAATTTTAATTAAATATCATTTACTTGTTTTTTTTTTTTTACTCGTGTCTTTTATGCAGTGTTCAGAAATACTTTATGTACATTCTCCGAGTATGAACTTCTACTTCACTTAGTGTTTTTTCTCGTACTTTCCGAGGAAAACACAACTCCCGACTTCAAACTACGTCCCTCAAATTTGGTCTGGTCCGGGAAAAGGACGGGCTAAGAGCGCATTGATCTTGGCAGTGCCTTCTTGCACTCGGTGAAATTAAGCTCTCTCAAGGACCACGCGATCACGTCCTTGGCTTTTCACGTACCATACACAACATCTGAGGTCGAGTATAAGAGTTCAGCGACCTTTAACAAAAAAAATGGCAGATGGTCATGTGAAAACATATTATCGTCTTTTGAGACGTCATGACGTCATCTGGTCATTTCTTTGAGTGAAGTAACAGCGGCTATAAGACTGACACAAATAAGTGCCTTATAAGTCGATTGCGCTAAATAGTTTGTCAGCGAGGGTAGAACATCTAAAAAAAAAAAAAAAAAACTGCATAAGGGAATGAAAGGTTATCATGAAAGATTGCGTTAAAATACAATGTACTTGCACTTTAGTTTGAAAGTACAATGTTTATAGCACTTTACTTCAAGTACATTCTGCCCAGTATACTTACTATTTTACTTGAAGTACATAACCTCTCATCTACTTTGTACTTGACTTCAAGTTCTTTCTAGATTTATTTTACCGAACACTGCTTTCAAATTACCTGCAAATATGTTTCTTGTTTATAACTAAGCCGTATACTTTCCGGTTTTAACAAAAAAAAAAAATAATAAACCTCCACCAGTGTCAAAAAAAAAAAAAACAGTTGAAACTGGAAAATACTTTTTTTTTTTTAACATTTCCATACAAGTGGCAGTCTTTTTTCACCGCTAAAGTCCTATGTAGACGTTCGTCAGACTCACTCTTTCTTTTCTTTTTTTTTTTCACCCGTCGCTTTGGGTTGATTGTCAGTATAGGTCTCCCGAGGTCTCTTAGTAACCAAGATGTTTTTTCTGTCAGTGCTGGTTACTTTGACCTTCTGTTTACGTCCCCAAAAGTTTGGCCTGATTGTGCCCTTTTGTAAATTGCCCCGTTGAAGGCTGCCCTCCATCTTTGTGGACTTTAGTTGGGTGGTTTGAAGTGTCTTTCAGATTGTTTGTGTCGAAGCGCGTCCGTAAGAAAATTTATGGCATCGGTGTTTTTTTTTTTTGTTTTTTTTTTCAGCCTGTTTACAGATGATTTGTTCTGGTTTCGCGTGCAGATAGTTAATCCTTGCGTCAAGATGGAACTGCCAAAGAGATTTACTCGCAATGAACGCGTCTACAGGCTTTTCGTGCGCGATAAATGTAAGCTCAGTGATCTGGAAGCCAAGTTCCTCCAGTACCGCCAGTACGCCATCAGTGCCATTGTTGAACCTGTGCTGTTTTAGGGAAGCTGCATTCACCAGACTGGCCAGTACTCTCCCAAGCCTCTTTGGAAATATTATGACTTCCAATGTCTAGCGCAAATGTAGAGCATTTGTTCAGAAATTGCACATAGTCAACAGGAAGGAGCGGGCGGGAATGACAGATGCGATCCTTGGAATGTATGCATATTACAATCATGAAGTGTGAAGAACATTGTGCTATATATGTAAATAAAAGTTTAACCGTTTCTCGACTTAATTGTTTGTTTCTATAAGTGATTTTCTTTTCCGTAGATAAAAGCCGTTCTAAGCGCCTGCATGAGACAACTCACCGAAATGCACCGGTATTTTGGAAATAAATAAACATAGCAAAACATATGCTGATATTTCTACATAAATAAACACCGGAAGGTATACGGCCTATTCATGACTAACCAAACTGTTATTTTGCAGCCTTCACTTTTAATTTTTTGTACTAGATCCCCCCTGCCCTCACGCAATGCACTTCATTGCTTTTGAGGACTACTATTAAACTCAACTGATCTGAAACGTAGACCCACAGGTATGGAATATTTTCGTCACGCTATGGGGAAAGCTCTTCCTGGGCACAAATGTAAGCACCAGAGGCACGCTGCCGACGCCAGGAGTGAACCAATCGGATCGCCCGAAGAACCCAGCGGATGGACTTTGGCTTAAAAAAACTACCGCGAAGAAAGTTGCTGGATGTACCCACTTTTTCATAAAACCCCACGAACCCGCCGAGAAGATGGTTGATTGGAAGCGCCATCTGAACCATATTTTCCGGACTATAGCACACAGCTGGTCCAGGGTCCTCATCTAGTGCATGGTGCCTAGTATGCACGAAACAAATTATTGTACGCAGCACACCCTGACAAGTGCCTGCTTCATTAGCTCACAAAGAAGCATGTATCGTACGTAAATCCTCATTAGCATACTCTGCTATTCGTGAAATCCGTCACACCTCGTCATAATGAACGATTTACCTGTAGAGTGTCCACACCCCATAAAATTTCAACTTTTAAATGTGCATAGTCCGCAGACTATAGTCCGGTAAATATGATAATCAAGACGTGGGGGCCATATTGTTTTGGAATAATTGGAATGCCAGGTGAAAAAGGGTGGTACATTTGCATTAAAAAAAATCTACTTTTTTTTTTTTAGAGTTTTATTTTCACTTTTTTTTTCTTCACTCCTACTTGTACTACCGCCACTTCTTGTGGTAACAAAATTTACTAGGCCAGAAGCTGCCGAATTTTTCAGGCCAATAGAAGTATTTATCCACTGATAACATTTCACTTGACATGCAACAGTAACATTTTCCTTGATATGTTGCATTTTTACAGAAGTTTGGCCAACCCATCTGAAAAAAAATTGTTATAAAATTTATCTTTTTTTCCCCTTGTTCAAGGATTTGTTGCTTTTTTTTTTTCTTTGTGTGTGTAAACAGTATACAAGTTATTTTCTATCATAGACCCTAATAGGTCTGATAGTATTAAAAAAATAAAAAAATAAAATAAAGACTTTGGCCAAACGGTCGAAACGTCATGACCGGCCCCCGGCACACCGTGCGGGAAAGCGGGCACCACAGGGAGCCGAAGGGGGGTGCATCCGCCGAACCCAAGGGCGCCTCACCCGTGTCGGCGGTGGGGCTGTTGGGCCGGAGGATGCGGAAGGACATGATGTTGGTGAGCGGGATCTCCACGCAGTCCTTGCTGTGGCTGCTCTCCATCTCTATCACCCTGCAGGGAGGCAACCGGGCACATCTACGTTTGTCTTCCGTTCGTCGGGTCAGGAAAGCGCCGGGAAAATGCGAGAACATTGGCGCTTCGAGACTGAAATGTTGCTTAAACTCGGACACAAATCTTTTTCTATGTGTACGAAGAAGGGATGTCTGGTTTATTAACTGTAAAAAAGGAATTTATAATTCCGACGCAAAAAAAACATGCGATCCTGCTGGCTTGCTCCCCACCTGCTGAGCTAAAACTTGGTCCATTCAAACTGCCGACACTCTTATATTCCCTGTTCCTGGTGTTATAGAACAAAGTTAATGGCCTTTTCATCAAGAATGAAGAAACTCTTCCTACAAACAAAAAAAATTAATCCCCCCTTGCTCATTTTTTTCTTAAATCCACCCCTGTAGGAGATGTATTATGAATAAATAAAAAAATTAATAAAAACTAGCTTTCGGCACATGCATCTACACTGCTAAGAACGATTACCTCCTATATAGAGGAATGAACACTCGCATATAAGAAATTATCAATTTTCTTCAGAGAAATGAGAACAGCAATGCCTGGAATGGATCTTTGACTGGTGTGTCTAGTGCCCAAGCATCAAAAGTGGTCCCCAGCTGGCAACAAACCGCGTCGCCGGAGGCGTTCTGTCGGACGTCGCAATCCTGGCGGCTGGCTGTAGAAATGCCGGCAAGAAAGGCGAGTGGACAAGAGGGCTGCCGTATTGCAGCACACCAACTCCCAACTGCCGAAGCTTCCACGGACTAACAAACTGGAGAGCAACCTGCAGCCAAACAGGCGTCTGCCCCTTTCACCACCGCGGAAGTGACACCACCCAGGTCGCGGCGATCGACAGCGCGACATCGCCGCGACGCTGTTGGACGAAAATCGAAGGACCACTTTTTGGGACATGGTAAACGAGACGCCGGTCAGAGACGCTTTCCAGGCAGTGCGGTGCGACAGAGCCGACCTGTGGTCGCCGGAAAGGCGGCAGCAGTGGGCGGTGGCGGAGCCCAGGTCGACCTCGGGGGACACGGACACGAGGAAGCGGGCCCCCTTGAGCAGCAGCTTGAGGTGCCGGTCGTAAAAGTCGTTCTCCCTCAGGGTGGCCGGACTGCAGTCCTGGCACACCCGCACCGGGTCCACGAAGCACATGCGCTGCAGGGGCAGGCGGCGGCCGCAGCAGCTACCGCAGTACACGCGGCCGCACCGCCGGCAATGGTGCTGGGGACGGACAAGCGGACGGAGGTTCCACTAAATTTTATACTCTCACTCCTTCCTCTTTAAAGTTAACTTTGTACAAAACTTCTGTTTACTCAAAGCTTGAGTATGCGTCGTTCACCCGGGATTTGAGTCATTTAAACTTAATTCACTCTCTAGAAGCAGCAAAAAATTGTTCCGCTCATTCCATCCGCAGTAACTATCATCTCACTGCAAGCGTCACTGCCACTACCTTGCTTTGCATCAGAAAATTTCTCGATTGTCTCTTTCTTGAGATCTTTCGCACTAACCCATCCTCAGTCAACCCTTTTTACGCGACCTCTTTACGTTTCATCCTGTCTCCATCATCCTTATAAAGTAAGCGTACCAATATGCAATACTAGCAGAGTTCACCCTTCATTTGCTTCCAAAACCTTCTTAGACTAAAATGATCTTCCCATTTCCGTCGGCACAATCCAGCCTGATCACTCGTTTAAATTTAATATTACTAATACGTTGCACAGTGCCATACCTTAACTTGCGTTTTGCCTTTGTCGTTGCGTTTATATGATCTTAGGTTTTGTACATCCCATTCCCCTCTGTAATGCTGCTGGTTCAAGAAATTTTTAATATTGAAATAAACAAGAAAAAAAATAAAAGCTCTTCGATCCACCCCCTCCTAAAAATTGTCGGTTTCCAAAACAGGCTTTTCCAAGGGCACTCTGGGGGTACCCTTGCAGGTTCCCCGAGCTACAAAGGCTTCTCGACCGTCCCTGGCCCTAAGCAAAACGTTTTGCAAGTTTAAGCGATATTTCAGCGTGTCTAAGCAAGCCATTGATAAGTAACTATGAGCCAAACACTGCCTCGTATGTTCAATAGTGTTACAAGCTTTGATGGAACTCCTGAACTGCATTACTGAGTCAATGCTGCGGGTCAAAGGGGTCCCTTGGCTATTAGTTGAGGCAGGTGAAGGATCCTCGAGATTGAGAAGTTTGAGAAGCCCTTTTCTAGATACTGTGGTTCTCCTTAGGGCCACTGCCTTTGGGAGTACCACGTTCGCGGCGAGACGCTCTACCGCGAAGCGGGTTCGCACTCGCGTGGCATGCTGCTCGTCGAGCGCAATGAGACACCAGTCACGTTGGTAACGGTGATAAACTCCGTTTATTTACAATAAAACAAATAACAAAAAAGACAGCGGCTATAAGCTGGTGAACGCCGTCGGTGTGGAGATCGCCCACGGCCGAACGGTCGTTCACAAAGGTTCAAAGGACGAGGTAAACGCTCACTGGTGCGCCGGACGGTTCCCTGTTGTCGCCGCCGCCGAATCCCAGGAAGAAGAAAGCGGAGATACCGCTGTCCGGTGGTTTTAAGATAACGGCGGGGGCGAAGTGGCCAATAAAAGAGCGACACATCGATCTCCTTTGTGCAGGGGTTCGTTACGGAAATCGCCCCAAAGGGGGAGAGGAGGAAGCCACTCACAGTGGTTAGCAGTGCCACCTCTCGCTACGTCGGCGCGGCCGCCACGGCGTGCCAAAACGCTGACACGACAGATTGTTGAGGGATCACAATCCCCACAATACAAGGCCGTAGCGCTCGACCTTTTTAAGTCGAACCACCGGAGGGCAGTGCTGCACTTGGATTGGGCACGACTGCTGCGTCGACGTTCAGATGGGGCTCGCATTCAAGCGGTGAGAAAGCAAGTCCCGGCCGAATGCCGACACGGAGCTCGTGGCCAGTTTATGCACCTTGCCGGCCCCTGGTAGGTTGTGGAAAATCTGGGGCTACGACCTACTTCCGTCCAGAGGGTGTTGGTTCAATGCAACACGGGCGCAATCTGTACATTGGGAGCCAAGTTTCATTTCGCATTAAAACAAAAGAGTGTGAGCAGCTATAACTTAGTCCCTCTGGATAATAAGAAGTGATGCCATTCTCCTCTCCTAACTTTTCTCTCTTTTGAGCGGGCTGCTTGCCGTCATTTTTTAGCGATGACGCCGACCGATTGAGGTGCCGTGTACGTCCATGCCTGTGATCCTGGGATTGGCCCGTGACTCCCTCTCTCCTTCCGTCTGCCTTGGCTGCAAGCCACCATTTTTGAGCGAAAATGTTGGCGAGAAGGAAAATTCTGAGCCACAAGTTGCTTTACATCTTCTGCACATAAAGGTTTTAGATAAAATGAGAAACATTCCAGGCTTTTTCTGAAACGAGCGCTGCCACGACGGATGTTGGTTTTGGCTGAGGGACACGAGAAAGAGGCAATTCGTTGATGGCCTTCAAAAGGATTTCTTTTTCATGATCCCCTATTTTCCTAAAAATTGTCTAAACACACCAACAAACATCATTGAATTAATAACTCAAATAATAAGAAAACAACAAATTTTTTTTCTTTTTTTTAATTTTTTGTGTGATCTTCATCTATTTTTTTGGAACTGAAAGTCTCCACTAACAACAATAAAAAAAAGTGACACTAGTGGCAGGCAGGAGTTCACTCTATGGACCGTAGAATTTGTTCCCAACTGATTACAAGAAGTTTGATGGTGTGAAACGTACGCTTTGGAGGCTCGCCTGAACACTCGCGCAGCAGCACGAAACAAATGTGCAGCATACTGTGTTTTCTAGACTCCCTGCTCTGTTATTGGCTGAAGCTGAGCATGTTGGTTCATTGCTTGTGAATGGGGCCAGCTGAACATGGAAAACACACAGAAAACACACAGAAAAAAATATAACATTCGCACCAGCGGTGCGAATGTTATATTTTTTCTCTGTGTGTTTTCCCTGCTCTGCCTGCGAGCCTACCTGCCAGCCAGTGATGTCACGGCACTGAAAAGCGCAGAAATATTTGAATGTGCTGATCTCACAATAACTCACAATGCCGATCCCACAATAACTAATCTGAATTATGAGCGCGCCGAAAAAAGTAAAGACCACGTATTCAGAAAATATAGTTACCTAGTTTGGGTAGCTCGAAAAAACGCTGGAGGATCCCTTAACTTTTTGCCACATTTGCCACACTTAACTTTCACATATATTTTTAGTAAAGTAAAATAATGCAACTGCTCGAAACCGAAATTGAAACATGTGCATGGGGCCTCAAAGGAGAGAGTTGCCAGAAGTCATGTGGCTATCGCTACCTATCCAGTTTTCTTCCGTTCCTCCGATTCTCCGGCATGTGAAGCAAACGACAATGAGGATGTTGCTTAAACCATTCATTGTGCGATTGTTTCGCACTTGCATCCCTTCCCCTCGCAGTTCTGTGCTCGAAGATCGATGAGCCGGTACCATGAACCACAGTTCCGAAGTAGAGGTCCTGTGTCCGTCGCAACATTGGTCCGTCGTGTGCCGCCATCGCGTCGTCCAGCCCGCGGTACATCACCATATTGAGAATGATGTGTACATCTACTGCCTGTGATCTGTGCAACAATTTTTTTTAATCAACATATTTGCAGCTTTTTAAGAAACACAAGAAATGGGGCTCATATTCTTTCCTATTTTTAATATTGAATGTGTGCCTTGAATTACCCCGGACCTTGAATATATTTTATATGCATCAGTTTGAATGGCACAAGACTGTGGAAAAGAGAATGGGCACGCCTGAAACCGGCCAATTCTCGACTGCCAGTTTTAGGGCAGAAAAAACATATGAGCACTATACACATAATGTGTTCTTGCAAGCACAAACAGAACTAAAATCATCTAAGGGCTTTTAAAGGTTTTAAGGTGCCTCTAAACAAAAGGAGTTCGGGACCTGCAAGAATTCATGGTGACTAGGACTTGTTTTGGCATCCATATCTCATCAAGAATGGACAAATAGGATGTTAATAAGCTTCATTTTTAGCCTTTTCAAAATGGTGCCGAACCCATTAGGTAAAGGCTGCCATTTTCAAAGCCCAGTGTGCTTCAATGGGACGGCCAAAGCGTAACAGTTGTTCTCAAATTAATAACCCAAACACAAACAAAGTATGTTCAAGGCTGAGAGAACTAAAGGGCCTCGAAACCATACATCTCTCAATGCCAAAACCAAGCCTAAGTTAAAGAGCAATTTTACAGTATACGAAGCACTACCAATGGCCTCTTCCCCCCACGAGCTCTTCAAGAGACTGGTTTTCTCTCCGCAAGCAAGGGCCGGTATCGTGAGCACTTGGATATCGTTCAATAGCAAACGCTCTCTGGCAATGTGGGTCGCTTGACCTTGTTGTGGAGAAAACAGATTATGTCACAAGCAGAACCAGTTGCACAGCTGGACACCGCGCAAGCCTTTTTCGCTTCCTTTATTTATTTTTTTAACCAACTGATGAGCAGCCTTGACATTTCTCTGATCCGTCCTGCAAGACAGTTGAGCTCAACAACGGTTAGCCGTAAGCATACACTTACCCGGCGGGTAATGAGGTCGAACTTGCACCGGCACCTCACGCAGTCAGACCTCTGTAGATAAAAGGAACAGTATACGCTTACAAGCGTTAATAAATATGCCCAAAACGAAACAACATAGCCAAATTCTTTTTTTTTTTTCTTTATGCATGGCTTATATATTCGCTCCAAGCCACTGAACTTCGGCTCGATTTATTTAAAAAAGACCGGATTCCCGAGTAGGTAAGCTGCCCTGACGACGTCTCACTGTCGATAGCTTTACCTCTTTTGCTATATCTCTACCGAAAATCGTCCCACTGACACAAGGAAGTCGCCGATCGAGTTTGTCACCCGACCAGTCGCTGCGAAGACCTGTCGACCTGACCTACATCAGCCAGTACCTGAGCGCCAAAGCTAAATTTGCGGGTGGTTCGCTCGAACGGTCCCAGCCTGCCGCACTCGATTAAGATGAGGCGTTATCGCCGATTAAAAGCTCGAACCACTCGTTCATAGCAAATGCTGGCTTACGAGTCGGTTGTGTACGCTGACAACTACACATCTCCTAAACCGTCTACCCGTTTTTCGTGACGGAGGAATAAACTCGATGCCATTATTCAACTGACATGTTGACATGTGGTGACCGTTGAACAAGCGCGACGACCACGACCTGCAAGCCTTTTGGTGGCGGTGCTTCACCCAACACACGCTGGGATGAAAATAGACACTATAATGTGTTAGAATCCTCGTTATCAAGTAACCGACACGCGGGGTTAAGAAGGTTCCACGCAAACGGCAACAAGGTGGAAAAGATTTAACAAAGAATCCCGTTAAAGCGTGGTAGACGTAGTTACCTCTCGGTCGGGTGTCCACGGCGGTTCGTCGAGAAAGAACGGACTGAGTTCGTCGCTGTTGGCGGAGACGATGCGGAGACCGCTCTTGGACTTGACCAGCTTCTTGGGCGCGGTTGTCATCACGACGCAATGTGGAGGAAAGCTCGAGATTAGGCAGAAACAGCACGCAGACTCTACAGCCCGATCACACACCCCTTCCACGTTAGGAGAAGTAAACAGTAAACAACGAAAGCTGGATGGATATATAGTGTACAGATGGTATAGTGGTGACTTGCGCCACCTAGTTACAGTGTAAATTCGAAATGAAGATGCAAGCGAGCTGGTGAACTTTCAACATTGTAAAATCTGAGACGTAGGACATTAAAAACTCGATGTTTGCTGACCAACTACACGCTGTATAAATATCCACACACAACCCCCCAAAACACAGCTCGGGAGTTGCCATGAGTGGCACTCACACACTCACACAACGAGGTTCTAGGGTTGTGGTCCAACTGGCTGACAGAGTAATCCAAAAACAAAAACCCTTCCAACGATTTAGAGTGATAAAAGTAATACCACGTTTTTTTGTTTTTTTTAAATTAACACCAGAAACGCCAAACTTGAAGCAATAAATGCCAAAATTTAAGCGAAATCGAAACCAAAACTAGTGCTTTGAAGCGCGCTCCATGGTCCCTAGATTGCGTCTTTCAAATTAGTAATTTTAGGGTGACTAATGTCCTAGCGCCGTTGATGCAAGGTATAAATGGAAGGCCGAATAAAATATCAGCCTGCTTAATAAACATTTTCAGCTTATTCTTGAGGATGTTCGAGAGCAAAGAATGTCGGGGCTCAAAGTGCTTTTCCAAATACATTTTTAACTTGGGGGTTTAACACACACAAAACAAAAAGTTATGTTATTAATTGCATTTCTACCAACGTATTAAAAAATATATACTCAACCCCAAGAAACTACTAGTGAATTAAATATTTGAGATAATCAAAACAAATTAATTACCATATTTTCCAAACTACACGATGCAGACAACAGAATTAAGGATTTGTTTTTCCTAGATGGTTTGACAAAACGAGACAGACTTCGTGAATGACAGAGCATGTCAATGATGAATAATGTATGGTAGAAGCTTCTTGGCAAGCTAAGAAAGCAGTCATTTGTCAAAGTGCGAAGAGAATTTCATATCGACTAACCAGCAGGTGCAGACTGTAGTCAAGAAAATATGGTATTGTTTCGCTTTCCACATAACTATAGTCCGTTGCAGCTTAAGAACGTAGGGCGAGGGTAAGACGGGCCGGGGAGGAGGAAGCAGACGGAACGCTAGAGAAGAGAGGGGGCAACCTCCTTTTCTCCTCAGCGTTCCATCAGCTTTGTCATCCCCGGCCCGTCTTAACCTTGCCCTACGTTCTTGAGTTGCAACAAACTATAGTCGTGGCAACATCAAACACAAATTCAAATGACCCGCGAAAATGGTGGATTTCTGGAATGCATAGTCCAGTTCTATGAATCCAAGACTCACAAGCAGCGGTACAAGTGATCCTTTATTCATGGTGCCAACGGTTGCACGGTTGTCAAAAAACTAGAATAAAATTTAAAAAAAAACAGTCGATCGAGCCAGATGTCAGTTTGCAGACTTCAACGCCTTGGACAAGGGTTTGGGAGTCCTCTTCAGGCCCCGAGGAGTCTTGACGGTAGACAGCCTCCCTGCAACATGGAGCAATTTCGTCGTATAACAACGCTCCAAACCACGGTGCCCGGAACGAGTCTCCATTTGGTACATTCGGTGCCCTATGCCGACCGTGCATCAAAAGTGGCAACAAACAACGCCACAACAGCCGAAGTGTTGCACTGTCAGATGCCACGATCCCTACAGTTGGGAGTACAAATTACGCAAAAAAAGTATGAGCGAATGCAAGTCAATGTCATTCTGGCCTCCCAACTCCTGGCCAGAGGTCGGCATTTTGGGTTGCTTTCACTCACCCTCAGCTAAGCCCCTCACTTACCCTCACAGCTACACTCACCTCGAACCCCTCACTCATCCTCATCCTCAGTCACCTCAGCCCTTCACTTACCCTCACTGAATCTCACGCACTCACCGCCCTCGTACCCCTTATGCAATCATCGTCCTCACGCACTCATACACCTCACACACTCCTGGCCCTCACACCCCCAACGGTCCTCACTCACCCTCACCTCACCTGTGAAGATGAGGGCGGGTGAGGGCCCTCATTAAAAAGGTTTGCCGATTTATGCTCCTGGCTGCCAAAGCTTCCGCAGACTGCCAAGCGACCCGCGGCAGAACAGGCGTCTGCTACATCCACCATCGCCGCTTACGACGTTGTCGGAAGGAAACCGAGGGATCCCTTTCTTTAATACGGTAAACGCGCCAGTCAGAGACCCCTTTCGGGCACCACACTCCAAAAGTCGGGAGACTGCTGCCATTCGGCGACTTCGCAGCCAATCCCTTTTCGAGGGGACCGAACAAAAAACGAGCAGTCGGTTGGCCCCGAGATTAAGCCGCCGCTACCGTTAACTAGTGTACTACTCAGAATAAATGTTTCATGCTCTTAACAAACCTCTGAAAAAAAGAAAATTTTTTTTATCAGTTTAATTGAAACACACGTGTCAAAAAAATGAATTTTTTGCGAAACAACAAAAAAAAAAAAATTAGAGCAATACTGATGGTGCGAGACACGATTTAGTCGTCAGTCACCTCCTTTCCACTTGTTTTGTCTCTTGGCATTTTGGGCGCATGGAGGAGAGGTGGATCGGCTTTGCCTTCACAATGCGGTGGAAAGAGCAAATGACCGAGATGGTGATTCCGGAATGACCCGTGACGTCATGGACTTTGCGCGCAGAATTTCAAATAAATCTCTCACCATCAATATTGCTCTACAATTTTTTTTTGTGTAAAATTAATTTTTTGACATGCGTGTAACAACAAGACTTTTTTAAAACAAACTTTTTTTTTTCATTTCAGGGTCCCTTTAAAGAATGAAACAGGAATAAAAAAAATGCTGGCACAGGTAATAAGTACACTCCTCTTCCATCTGAACCGGTTACCGAAGGCTCGAGGAACGGGAGCACAGTGAGTCCCAAGCACCCAATTATCGCTCCGAAGTCAATGAGCTCGCAACTTTAACCGACAAGAACGAATCGCAGAAAGGAAAGAAGCCGCACTCCGTATTTGCCCATCGGCGATTATACCCGTTTTTCACCAAACTCAAAAATCCTGCCCCTAACAAAAAAAAAATAAATATATATACCGTAATATCCCGAGTCATCGCCCATCCCCGAGCCATCGCCCACCCCATTTTTTGGGCCAATATCGATTTCCGAAAAAACACCGAGTCATCGCCCACCCCTTCAAATACCTTAGCGCGGACTCTGGGATCCGCGAACACTCATCCTACCCGAATGACGCGGCCGCGGACCTTACAGTTGGAGGACGTCCGTGGCAAAGTAAAACGAAGGAGGGAAAGACACTTCTTTTTGTTTACGCATTTCCTCCGTGAGCGACCCCAAAGTGGTCGTGTATCCGTGCGAAAAGAAAACGATGGAGATAACAAAATAAGAGTTTGTTAAGGTAACCGCGGAGTGTTAGGTCAAAGTCTGTCTTTGCCGAAGTAAGGTCACCGCGAACCCGCTCCTTCTTCCCGCCCGTCGCGACCGCTGTTGTGCAATATTTTAGGCAAAGCCAAAGCGTAAATAGAGCTTTGCTGGAACGTCCTACACAGACGTTTGCAGAGCGTCCCAACCGTGCATTGATAGCCCGCCGTGCACGGACGCACGTATGTACCCACCAAACAAGAAAGTTGCGCAAGAGCTTGCAATTGACAAGGCGCCCGACTTGGCCCGACGCCAAAGTATTTGCCAACGCGACGGCCGGCTTTCCCGCTTTCCCGGCATTGCTCTTGGTCGCTTCCAGGGTGGTCGCTTCTTTGGTTCGCTCGCTCGCTCGCTCGTTCTGCCTGGTCGGTTTCTCTATTTTCTTGTAGACTTTTCTTTCTTTTTTTTTTTACTAACTAGGAGAACATAATGGTGACATTCTTTCACGGAACAAACGTTCGTGCTATATGCAGATCGGGGGTGTTTCTAGCGCGTATGCAAGCAACGGACTTGGCTATAGTAAAATATTCTTTCGTGAGCATTTCTTTTCTATAAAACAATGAAACTAAATCGAGTTTTGAGTTTGATGTATCTCTTGTGCATCAGCGCTAGATACGCAGAGAAAAATAGGCGGTTTTTTCCGTTTTTTTTTAAGTGTTTGTGCTCACCCACCGAGACATGGCCCACCCCACTTTTTTAACGAATTTCAGGCGGTTGGGGGGTGGGCGATGACTCGGGATATTACGGTATATATAAAAGGAAAAGAGTAGCCTCTTGACGACGGACGATCCAAAAAAGAAAGGACACGGCGAACAGCTCGTTTCGATACCACCCGACACATTACTCAGCGCGGAAACTGCTGCGTGTTCTCAGATGCAATTGCACGCGAGTGTAAAGGATTGTCCGCTTTCCCACTGCCACGTTTCGCTCCAGCGTCATTAATTTATTAGCATACCTAAAGCAGGGTGGGAAGAGAATAGGATTAAAAAAACATTCAAAAACGCACGCCAACGTGTGGATCACCCGATCTTCACAGCGTAGCTGACAAGATACAGAAACCAAGCCCGAGCATTGCGTCCACACTGCCGAATATGCATGGTGCATGCAATGCTTCGCCAACCAGTCTTTTCACCGCATCCTCAAAAGTGATCCCTCAATTGCCGCCTAATGACACCGCGCAAGTGTCATGCCGTCGCCTGCTGCGATCCGGGGGGTGGCACAGCGGCAGTGGGATGCAGCAGATGCCCATTCGGCTGCAGGTTGCTTTCCAGATTGACATTTCACGGAAGCTTCGGCAGTTGGGAAGCCGTGACGACCGCGACGCTTGCATTTGTTTTTGGTCGGAGCTTTTAACACTAAGCACCATGATCGTGAACCCGGCAACATTGGTTCTTCCGACGTCGCTCGTTGCCACTTTGGGGCCACCTTCGATGCGTGGGCCGCATAGAGCGTTCGAAACCGAAGGAGTTCCTCACCGCCGGCCGGCTTTCCCGGAGTGAGGACGATGACCTCGCCGTTTTCTTTGTCGACCGTGGCGCAGGGTTGGGGAGGGTTCGTCGAGCCCGCCATCCGGGCCTTGGCCTCCGCAAGACGCTTCTTTGCGGCTGCCAGCCTCTCGTTCTGTGGCCTGTCGCCCTGCAGCCTCTTGACGCACTTCACCTGCATGATGCAAATGGTAAGGCACGCGCATCACCGCAGGCCACGATGGGTGGCGTGGGAAGTGGCGTGCACTCAGAAAACGACGGCAATGAACTTGCGACCTCGACGGGCCAAAAAACTGCTTATCTCGAAGGTGCTCTAAATGCGCAGCATTTACGGCTCCCGCAAAGTGTCGGTGTCACGTGACCATCGCGAAACTGCGTGGTCAGGCAACGTCAACGGCATCACACGTCACGGTCTCGCCTGACACGACGGTGTCGTGTGGCGTTAGGTCCCAGAGATGCTGCAGTGTCGTGTCGCACTACCCCGTCCTCAAGGCTACATGTGGGGTGCAGGCAAAAAAGCACAAAGAGAGCTGGCCCCCTAAATGCCACGCACTTACACGCGACCGGTCAACTATAGTCCGTTTGCAACGACTTTACGGGTCAAAAGTTCTCAGACTGCAAACGCAGCAAAGCGGAGACCGCTCTAAAAGGACAGGCGGAAGACGAAAGGAGCTCGGCCAACTGCCGTTGCCCTTTCGATGGTCGTCTTTCTTCCGCAGCCTCTGGTCCCGTTTACGTCAGCCTTCTGTCAGTCGTTACATTATTCTGCTTACCACGGTGAGCAAAACAAGAAGCGCTCGTCCCGCCTACTTTTTTTTCGCTCGTCCCTCGTCTCCTTTTAGGCATCACTACATTAATTCAATCGATCCAGCAATGACCCGCATCGCCGCTATTAGAGAAAAGCCCCACGATCCGTGGCTGTGGCTGTCGAGGGACGAAAGCCTCACCTTGGGTCGCTGTGCTTTCCTGGACGGCACCTTCTGTTCCACGAGGCTCCAGTTGTTCTCCTGCAGCTCTGTCAGCGCCTCAAACTTCCTGTCCACGTCCTCGACCTGCAGAGAGGCCCAGGTATGCAATGCCGTCCTCCTTTCTACGAGCGGTACAACAATATAAGCAGTCGGAGGCCAAGAACTAAATACCGCCTCCAGCACACGCTCATTGTTTTTCACTATGTTTTTGGCTGCGCTTGCTGGAGGCAGGGCACCTACCGAATTCTTGCACTGTCACCGACTATACTCGTGAAAATCAAAACTGCGATATGCAAGTTTTGAGCATTGCTCCACTTCTAATTCCACTCGTAACATCTCGACATTGATCCATTGCAGGAAGCCAAAAGTATGACCGGGATACAACGAACACAATGTCCTTACTAAATAAAGGGTGCATACTTTTTACATAAAGGGTGCAAAGAGTGCATACTTCAAGGTCAAGCTCTTACGGTTCCAGCCAACGGCTCGCTCACCCCCGATGGCCCGAAAATTAGAGGCAAATATCTGAAGCGCACCAAATGCACGAAGGTGACCAAGTGAGAACAACAACCAAGTACTAAGACCATGACAAAAAAAGGCATTGGACTCTGGAGGCAGGAATTAGCAGACAAAACGTGCAAAACCGAACGAAAGAAAAAAACAAAAACAGCCCTCGCCCCCGCAATGTTGAAGACGTGTGTGTAGTAGGCACTGGGCATGGCTCCAGAGCGTGCCACTATCAGTTGATTGCCCATAGAGTTATTATAATGTACGCTAGAGGTTCAACTGGCGCTAGTGTGCTGTGGCAAATTGAAGCCGACAGCAACCAGTTGGAAAGTAACTTTCAGTAATGCATTGCTATTGGAAAAGGAAAGTGCATTTTCTCCCTCAGCTTGATTATAAGAGCAAATATCTCGAATAATTCGTCATATTTGGAACATTTCTCAGTCACGCAGACGAAACAATTGGTCAGCTACGGTATTTTTATTTCAAATTCATGGCATTAAAAACGGTACTCAAATGTCTTCGTAAGTGTATTTACGTAAGTGCACTGTTGGACACTGTTAGCGCGAACACGGCATCGGCGCTTTCCAGCATGGTGGATATACGTGCCAAACGAAAGAAGGACTTGTGGAAAACAAAGATGGTAACTATGCAACAAGTACTGCTTTATTCTTTCTGCTTATGAATTTGTGCTAAGATGCTTGTTCTGGGTTCAAAACATGACCCGCACGCTCCAAAACTTTGGAAATAGGGAGAAGCCAGAGAACAGGTGCCTGATAAAAATTGCCCGACATAGGAAATAAAAAGACACCTTTCATAGCCCACATACTATATACTTTACGTTTCAAATGTTTTTTAAACGCTCGTAAAGATGCACGATGGAGCCATTTTCATATAGTGACAGGACAGGCATATAAGCAATACATAACCACCACTGTAATGCTGGCAAACTTTGAACATACTCTACATTCCTTTCGATTGCTTAGAATCGTCGCTAGGTTTTACATATCTGCTATGGAACAGAGGTTTGGGCCTGAAATATAGCGAAGTTTAACATCGTTCAGTGTTAAAAACGAAATGCTGTAACCAAATCAATTAGACTTTACAATGTTAATAAAAGTACATACTCTTCGGTACGACCCAAATAATAAAAGTTACCTATGTTATTTTCCGGTGAAGAGACAAAATGCACGAGCGGTTTCCTATATGAATGCACAAGAGCACCGCAACACTAGACTGGGTGTTGTCAGCTTCAATTTGCATCCCGGAAGTCACATAGACACTAGCACCAGTTGAACCTCTCGCATACATAATAACTCTGTGATCGCCAGTGCCACTGTGGCCAAATGAGGCAACCCTGGGAAGGCTAAAATCGGCAGCGACGCCGGCATACGCTTGCAAGATGACATCTTTATTATGAACTCGGAGCGATCTGTTGTTGCACCACCCTAACAACCGTTTTCAAAATGTTTTAAAATTTTCAAAAAGGCCCTTTTGCCAGCCCCACAAGTAAACAGGCTGGTGAAAGGGCCTTCCCAGTGTTGCAAATATTTTGAGCTAGATGGCGCGACGTGACACACCAAATGTAATTGCCCGGGGCCTATGGTGAAGCTGGCAAACTTTACCTGGAAGTAGACCATATCCCAGAAGCCCTGCAGGTCTTCGCAGGTGATCTCCTTCTCGCCAGAGTGGTTCTCGCAGTTGTTTACCAGTCCTCTGAACTGTGCAAACCTCTGATTCATGAGGAGCCTCGCCTGGCCGGTCGTTGTCCTGATGGAACCTTGGGCTGGAACGCACGTGCATTTGCGTCAGCACATTTGCACACCATGACTAAACAGAGTCTAAACACGTGGCCCGAATGCATGGGACCTTTCCTTCTAGATTATTAGATTAAAGGGACCACGAAACGATTTTGGACAGAATTTTACAGGCGGCATACTGTTTACAAGATCAAGAGAAAACTAGCATGCGAGATTCGAAAAGCTAAATCCTAAAGTTTGGTATAAAATTTTGGCAAATAAAAGCCCACTATATCTTACTCTCTCTCTCGAATGCTGACAATGAAGCTGAGTGTATGAATGGGTGAATTAATAAGCGAGTTGAGGCAAAGCTTCCTGTAATGGGCAGTACTTAAGCCACCTAGCAAAGTAACCGCAACATTCACAGTGTTGGAGTCTTTTTTTTTTTCCCCCATTTTTTTTCGAGCACGTCAGTTGAATTTAGCCTCCGTACTGGATATGAGTAGTGTGTCACTCAAACTGTGCTCTCAAACTATGAAATTGTCGATGAATACCCTCGGTGGAAAGTCCCGAGCTCGATATCCGGTTGCACAAGCCGCAGCGTCAACGAGAGCAGGAGAGGTTTCTTCACAAGGAATTCCATTAGGAATTTATATTACTTCGTGGCTAGCATTTTGTGTTTGCAGCCGAGATGTGAACCTACCATTCTGTACTCAGTATTCACCACTCGGCGTTGAACTGCTAGAGCCTTCGTCGGGCGAATTTTCGTTATGCCGCGGGGCTGTTCTGGCGTACGGAACATGGCCCATGCTTTCTTTACACCGAAACATTTTAAGCTGCACTTCACTCAGCTTCAACGTATCCATAGCCATGGTGCTGATCGCACAAGCGTCGCAGACCAACAAGTTGTACGAAGCAACCTGCGTTCATGGAAACCTCAGTAGGCAACGTCGTTTCGATGTCCTTGCGTAGAAATGTTGACGCAACGCGGCTACCATGGTCGGCTGAAAGAACTTCTGTTTCCGGTAGGAAGGCATACTTTTAAGTCACGGCCACATGATTTCACATGTTGGAGGCTGACTGCTGTCAAGTCGAGAAGGAAAGCATAAACGAGTTTTCATCTTTTCTTTTTGTGAAAAACTGTGGTCAATAAAACTGGAACGGATTCCTGCTCCGGGTTCCATGAACATTGGCAAGTAATTAAAGTCTTCACCTGGAAAAATATGAAAAATCATTTCATGGTCCCTTTACCTCTATGGGACAACCCTACCATGAATGAATGGATGCTAATGTCTGTACCCTTTATAACAGGCAGTAGCTTGCAGCATCTAGGCAATAAACAAAACTTGTTTCTTCTCTGCTCCTAAGCCAATTTCCTTCCCCTCTGCATTCTTGTAACTATCATCAGGCAGTGTGGGATACAGCCAGGGGGCTACAACCCGTTCGCCAAAGGACAATTGGTAGCAGGGTGGTTTGTCATAGGGCAGCTTGTCGCAGTGACAGATTGTCAGACCATTGAAATAACTTAATTTTTCTGAGGCATTTTTCTGGTGCCAAGCATAATGCTACCAAATGTTTGGAGTCTCTTATAATGGCTGGTTGAATCGCTGTATTCTTTTGCAATAGACGCTGTCTAATTTCTCAATCGAGTATGAGTCGTCCTGGTCACTAATCGGAAGACAGCAGCAAATATGCAAGTTTGTCAAAACTAATCTATTTAGATATGGTCACTCTACTATCTATAGATACGTCTACTCAATGAAATGTTTCGGGCACACACCCTGAGGATGTATGTGTTGGTTCCGTCGTAGCGTCAAAAAACTACTCGAAAGCGCTTGTCCCGTGCTCCCGTGCTCGAAAGCGGTGGCGCCGACTGAATCGACCGACTTTGGGAGCTTGTGCCATCTAGCACTGGATATTAAAACCAAAATTTAGTCTCAAGACACGCTCTTCACTGCCGACTTAGTCATGCACTTCTACTCGGACGCCGAACTATGCTAGACGTCAACTCTTTTGTGCTAAGCTGGCAAGGCTACAGAGCCGAGCAGTGCGTGGCTATACTCCATTTCACTTTTACTGCGAGCACCGCAGAAGCTACATGAGCGAGCTCTGTGATATCAGCAAGTGCTCTGGTGCAGTGCACGCGTCGTTTAGGGCAGCGTGCTCGAGTCTGTAGGTTCCATTGTGCTCGGACATATGCCCGCATGCCACTGCCCATTTTGGAGGGAGGGGAGGGGGAGCAATCTCAGCACAAAAATGATGACGCCGAGTATAAATTAAGCTACTCCAACCAACGACAGCATTTGCAGAGCATGCACGATCGTCCTTAAGTTCAAAACGTGCGTGCTACTTCTAGCGCGCCCGTTCGGATCATTTTGTATTGTGCTTTTCCATTTTCTTAACGAGTATGTTAACATGCTCATCTAAATTTCCATACACGGACCCCGTGACACTGAGCCGAGTCACTCCATCAGAGCTGCTGTTCAGTCTGATAACATCCATGCCAAACTAAGCAAAACTTCTAAAATGGCAACTAAGGCACGGATGCAAGAGCACATCTGTACAGATTACTTGCTTTGCACGAGTGATCGTGGAAAGAAACCGCTTTTGGAAACCATGCATCCGTGCCTTTGCTAATTCTGCAGCCAACAAGCTTGCCGCGGTGCGCTCGACGGAACTACATCACCCTGTAAGATCTGTCTAAAATCTCCGGGCCGGCGTTGTCAGATCTCCAAACTGGCATTATCAGGTCAAAATCCCCATCCTTCGGTGCGAAGGACAGGGATTTTGGTCTAATAACGCTGGTTTGGTGTTTGTTTCGAGTGAAAAGTACCAAAAGTGTGTAGGGCCCGTTTCCCACGAGCGCAAAGCTGTTAACCTTTGCACCGTCATGGATCTGGCACCGACGTGGTGCTGGCACCTGGCGTATATGCTGGAAATCGACCGCCATAGTCGACGCGTCCACAGTGCTGGCAACACACGCGCGCGAGGGCGAGAAATTGGCTTTAATCGGGAAATAATTATCATAGGAGACATGAATGCCCATTTAGAGGAGTTTGATGGATTCACAGATACAACCGGAAAGTTGCTAGAAGATTTCTGTGATGCCCTTGACCCAGTGTTAGTGAATGCACAAGTAAAATGCGACGGCAGAATAACGTGGGAATGAAACAACTCACACTCAACAATAGACTACTGCCTCATGTCCCACAAATTGTATGACAGGTTAGGAAGTATGGAAATAGATGAGGAAGAAACAAAAAGCTTAGGGAGGGACCACAAACGAATTCAGATTAAATTTGGCGCATTCAAATCAGAACAGCAAGCCCAGGAATGAGCGGGTAAACCTAAACCAAGTGAAGCTCAAATACAAAAAGTATCGAAAAGCATTGAGAGCATAGTATCGAAACAACCAGAAAGGGAATGGGCATATGCGGATCTAATAGGAATCTTTAAAAGAGAATTAGAGAAGCATCAAATTAAACAAAGAGGACAGCAAAAACAAAGACACAAACCAAAAAGCTGGTGGGATAAGGAGGTCAAAGCAGCCATATTGCAGCGCCAAGAAGCATCTAGGGAGCATAGGTGGGCAAAGAAAAGGGGAGCCTTCCCAAGTGAGGTAGAATCAAAATGGGAAAACTTCCAGGAGTGAAAAAGGGAGGCATCAGCTTTAATAAAGACCAAAATTGGGAGTGCAGCGGATGATGAAAATAAATAAAAAAGATAGGAATGCAGCAAAAAGGTTTTGGGAACATATTAAAGCGCAGGGGAGAAAGACAGAGGGTTTCCAACACGTGCTAACCACACAGAAAGGGAGGAGAGTGGAGGGGGAAGAGGCACGGCAATATATTAGGCAGACAATCGAAGGGGCTTTCGCCCAGCTTGAGCAGAGGGGGACGGTGGATAACTCTGACAGCAGCAGCATAGAGGAGGAGCAGAATTATGTAACAATGGAGACGACCACAAGGGAATGGGATAAGGCAGAAAGTAAGGTTCCAGCAAGTACAGCGACAGGCCCAGACAACATACCCATGGAACTCATTAGGACACTAGGAAAAACAAGCAAATTGAAGTTACGACATGTGATAAATCAAATAATTATGGGAGGAGAGGTGCCTAAGAATTGGAAACTGAGTAAAATGAGACTAATATAAAGGCCGAGAAAACAAAGACAACATTAGGTTGTATCGCCCAATAACGGTAACATCAGTTCTATACAGATTAGCTATGCAGATAGTAAGGCAGAGAATGGAGGAATGGACAGAAGATATGCAAATACTGGGTGAGCTCCAAAACGGATTCCGAAGAGAAAGAAGACTGGAAGATAACTTATTCGTCACCACACAATGTATAGAAATAGCAATCAAGAACCCGACTCCTTTGAGGTTAGCTTATTTGGACATCAAGGGAGCGTACGATAATGTGAGCCAGGAAAAACTCTGGAGTCAGCTGAGGGAATATAACTTAATGCATATTTGGTTGGGTTTCTTCACCAGGTGCATACAGACAATAAGGTAATTATAGCATGGGAAGCAGAAACTACACAACCCGCAGCGATAAAAAGAGGGCTCAGGCAGGGCTGTTCACTGTCACCTCTGCTTTTCATGATATATCTCAGGGAAATGGAAAAGAAATTAGAGCAGAGCAACTTAGGTTTTTATGTGAGTTATATGGAAGAAGGGAGAAATGTAGCACAGGTAATACCAGGACTCATGCATGCGGACGACATAGTAGTTATGTCAGATAACCAGGATACGTTGCAGGAACTAGCTGGAATATGTGGAGATGAAGGGGACACATTGGGCATGAGTTGTAATAGTGACAAGTCTGGAGTAATGGTGTTTAATGACGAAAAGAGGGAACCCCTAAGGATAAAAGACATTGAAATAGACCAAGTAGGAAAATACAAATATCTGGGAGTCTGGCTCAATGAGGGAACGAAATATCTAGAGGAACATGAGGAGAATATAAATAGAAAAGGGAAAAGAAATTGATCAATTTTGAAGCTCAAGGCACTATGGAACTAAAATAGATATGAAGTGGTCAGAGGTATATGGAAAGGAGTGATGGTACCAGGACTGTCTTTTAGTGATGCAGTAATGTTCATGAAATCTGAGGTTCAATCAGGATTAGAAATTCGACAAAGAAGCGTAGGTAGATTAGCGATGGGAGCACATGGAAAAACACCAAATGAGGGAGTACAGGGGGACATGGGATGGTAGTCTTTTGAGAGCAAGGAGGCAATTAGTAAGTTGAAATTTGAACAAAGGTTGACCGAAATGGATGACACGTGGAGGGCACGGAAGGTATTCAAGTATCTATACATAAAAAGTTTAAACACAAAATGGACAAACCGAACCCGAAAGCTTACATTTATATACCTACACGCTGGTGATGGGGCTCAACAGACTACTTCAATGAAAAAGGGAGTGAAGGAGGCAGAGAGGAAAATGTGGGAGGGGAGAATGCAGGAAAAATCAGGTCACGAAAGCAGGACATAAGAAAGGAAAAACTGTTTGACAATTCACTGGGAAGTGCTTTGCTGTTCGAGGAAAGAATGGAGTTTTGAGGACGAGGGTGTATAGGGCTAAATTTCAGGAGATAGACGCATTATGTGCTGCCTGCCATAATGAGAGTGAGACACTTGAGCACTTGGTGTTAAAGTGCACGGGGATTCGTCCTGCCCTCCCTGAAGGGGTAACGAACGGATCTGGCCGGGGCCCTGGGGTTTGCTGGAGACGATGGAGGGACGGTAGGGAAAAGGATTACAGTGACAAAGAGACGGTTAAAAGATTGGTGAAAATTATCTAGGGAAAATTAAATGATGGACAACTAACTAGCACACAGCTGGGAACGGGCGGGACAAAGGAAAATTGGGACTCCCTCCCGCGTGGTTCCGACCCAAATTCTCGACCCTGTCTCCCAGCGGGTCCGGTGCTGGGGTAACACCGACAAGGTCTGACCAGAGGAAAATTGGCGACTCCCTCGGCAGGGGGAAGAGACGGGGGGGTGATGTTTTCAGTTTTTTTGCCCGATCTCCCAGAGGTCATCGTGGTGATATCCCACACTGCCTGGTGATAGTTAGAGGGAGAGAATTGGCTTAAAAAGGCGGGAGGAATCAAATGTTTGTCTTTCTTACACTTAGGCTAGGTGGCGCAAGCTACCGCCCGTTACAAAGGGTATAGCCACTAACATCCATCCATCCATCCATCCACTATAATCTTGTCAACGTTACTAAAACACTCAGTTAGGAAACTCGCCGTCGAAACCTGGGCCGCTGGCGTCCACCGAGACCGAGCTAAATACGACAACAGCGCCACTCTTTATCATTTCTCTGTACTGTGGTCACCTTGAGCTTTTAGATCGCCTGTTTTTGCGTAAAAACAAACGAAAAAGACTCTTTTTGTATGAAATTTATTGGAGCTTAGTACAAAATGAAGGGCGCGTGATGTTTTTAAAATCTTTAGTTTGCAAGGTTTTGCGGCACAATTAATATTGTTTTTATACAACCATGCCTCAGCGGTGCTTTCAGGTAGCGCGTCCCGACCTAGGTGCATTTTACATTCGATAGCAAGAGGCGCGTCCGCTGGGGAGACGGGGGTGGCACCCCTGTAACATTTTCCGCTGTATCTGTTTCGGAGCCCAAATGGCTGATTAAAGCCAAAATAGAAGTAACATGCGGTTCCTCGAATGGCCACTGCGGGAAAAATGGTGGCGTTGTGTTCATCATTAGCTCGGTGCTCGACGACAAATCGGGGCCACTTTTTCAAAGCAGTCTTTATGGCAGTTTCCCAACTGAGTGGTTTAATAAAGTTGACTCTTGTTCGCCTTAGGATAGACCACTCCAAATGCTAGAGCAGCCGTAGCCAATCCAAGGCTGGGAACCCTATGACGCCACTATACACTTTGCATGTCGCAACTTTTTTCTTGAAGGTCAAGTGACACTTGCACGGCACAGGATTGTATAGGAGGGCGGGACAGGAGAGGAGGGCAATGGAGGGCGAGGGGAGAAAGGGAGAGCACAAGAAACGTTAGACAGGAGAGGAAGTTTATCTCCTCGTCCCCAGCCTTCCTAGTCCTTGTCCTTTTTCCCTTGCCTGGCGTTGCCTTCGCGTTACTGCACGCAACTAGTGACACAGAGTATAGATGGCGTGAGCTCCGCGCGTATAGCCATTTCCCATCGAGTTGCACGAGCTCGTGCGTATAGCTTTGCTCATTAAATAAATACGTTAACCCGGACTATGTTAAAATCACCCCTCCACCTTCTCAGCCCCCAGCGAGGGAGGTGAGGAATTAAACATGAGGAAGATACATAGAAAGGGGGGACGGACAATGAAGACTGGAAGTCTTCGTTGTCTGTCCCCCCTTTCTATGCATCTTCCTCATGTTTAATTACTGTTACCAACATGCTCGTTTTGTACTTAAGAGGTGAGGAAGTCGCCAATTTTCCCACGGTCAAACTTTGTCAGCGTTACCACAACAGCAGACCCACTGAGAGACAGGGTTAAGACTTTGGGCCGGAGTCAGGCGAGAGGAAGTTCTGTCACTTGTCCGGCCTCTCCACCAGCTAAGCTAGCTATTAGCTTTATTTCAATTACCTTTTTTTTAGGTAATTTCCACCAATCTTCCAACCTCCTCGTTGTGTAATCTTCCTGCTCAGCTGTTCTGTCCTCACCAGCAAAACCCAGCGCCCCCGCCAAATCGGTAGAAATTCGCTTTTGTAACCAAGCTTACCAACGAAACTGTTCGTCGAAATTTTCGACGTAGCACGGACGAAGAACTTGAGCGTCCGTCGGCGGGCGCCCAGTAACACTAACCTTCGTCGTTGATGTCAGATGTGGACTCCAAAACTCTGTCCCACCGTTCACACAGACCGAGCAGCCTCTCGGTCTCCTTCACGAGCAGGCCGCGGAAGTAAGCTACGGTAAGGGCCATTGCTGAAAAGGCGGAAAACCGTTGTACCGCCAAGGCGCGGACAATGCGTTCCTGAGACGTTCAGGATAAAGACTTACTGTCGGTTTCAGGAGTAGCTCAAGTGCGCCGATTGCTGCACGTTCTAGAAATAAATGGAAGTGGTTAAAATCGTTCTGAACCGTGCTGTTGACGCTAAGATGTAAAACCGTAAAAGTAAAACCGTCACCCGGCTAATCAAGCGTTCAAATCATAAAGGCGTCGCCGGCGTCGCCGCCAATCGTGATGCCAGTTCCGATTTGGACCAATGCGCCAATGCGACGAGATAGACGACGAGATCGACAGCCGACAAACGGCATAAACTGTCAACGTGTTACTGAAATACTATAACCAGCAATTAAAAAATAATTTAACATCTATGTATTGAAAGAAAGAAAGCATACGTTTAAGCGGTAATTAAAAAAAATATATATATATATATACCGTAATTTTTATCTTATGAAATGCTTTTAAACATAACTTTTTAAACGTTTTTTTATATTTTATTTTGATATTTAGAAGATATTTGTGTTTTATTTGGCATGTGACGTTTAATGCAAGGAGGTGTAATGCGTCAAAACGCACCTGGTCGCCTGGCCACAACGAACAAGAACTGCTCTGCGGAGCTCTGCGGAGCAAGCCAAGCCAGCGGAGCAAGCGCCGTGCATAAACATAAACAAACGCATCATCGAAGGGCCGAGCCGCCGCAGCGGCCATAACAATAGGAGGCGGCATTTAAATGGCTCCCGGAGTCCCCGTTCTCCCACGCCCCTAGAAAATGAAACCGCCCTGTCGAAAGTGAAGAGTTACCGCTAGCCTCCGGTTGTCCCGGTCCTGACTTGGCCTCGGACTCCGAGAGCATCGGACGCTGGGACGAACAAAGCCGAGATGCCCAGCACGGATTTGCGGCACTCGCCATGCCCGTCGGAGGTGAGCTTCCTTTTGTTCTTTTTGTTTCCCACTCGAGGTCACGCCGAGGCCTTGCCTGCTGACAGATGCGTGAATCCGCGCTGCTCAAGGTCGCCATATGAGATCGGGAGCAGAATACAGCTGGTTTCCAGGAGTAAACACTGAGCTGTGGCAAGCCAACTCCGATAAAAGTAAAAAATAAAAACAATAAATAGTGGCGTACGCCGCCAATGCATAAGTCAAGTTGGCAAGTTAGCGCTTTCTCGTTATATTCTGTAACAAACAGAGAACCGATTTTTGTACGTTTACGAGATGTAGCGCTGGCACAGTACGAATATGTGCGAAAAGCCAAGTCGTGCGAGAGCTTTGATCGCTTCGGCGAATATGTTTCGTCGTCATGCGCCTTTTAACTGTACATAATTTCACCGAAGGCTGGGCGTGCTCATAAGGTGCCTGAAATTTGGAGAGAGGCACTCGATATATGTGATTTAATATCATTGACAGTTTAAAGCTCAGATGTTGATTGACGGTTGACGCTAGGTCGCGATCCAAACGGTTAGACAATAACGCATATATAAATTTCTTGCTCCCTTCACTTCACAGGGCGAAATTGGCTTCGCCACACTGCCAGAGCAGGTCCACCGTAAATCGGTCAAGAGGGGTTTTGATTTCACCCTGATGGTTGTGGGTACGGGCTTTCTTTCATTCTGTTTTCTTTCTTTTATTTAATGTACGGGCCATGCCTGATGTACTACCGCCACATTTTGCAGGAGAATCTGGTCTCGGAAAGTCGACGCTTATCAACAGCCTCTTCCTGACAGACTTGTACGAAGAGCGCAAACTCCCAAATGCTGAAGGTATTTGGCAATATACAGGCAGTTTTACGGCTTTCCATCACGGGTTACAAAACATGTTTTCTTTCGTTATCATTCAGACAAGATCGACAGGACGGTGCAGATTGAACGCAAAACCATGGAGATTGAAGAGAAGGGGGTGCGGCTTCGGCTAACTGTGGTGGACACCCCCGGCTTTGGAGACGCCGTCAATTGTGAAGAAAGGTGACCCCATCCTGCTTAAAACCTTGTCAAACTTAATGTTATCGGCAGCCGCATGTGTGCTTTATTTGTTGCTTCCAGCGCATGATTTGTGATTGCATCCGAGCCCCATCCAATTAAACGTGCCATCATTTCAACACAAGGCAAGCCGAAAGCTGATGACGCTCGTATGCAATTCATGCCAAGGGTATGCAACTACAGCATGTACACTGACGCTTCAATCTTTTGGGGGGGTCCCCAAAAATCGCTTTCTCAACGTATCGCGTTGAGGTTTTTTACAGAGGTGTGGCGTGGTGCTCGCATAAAGTTAAAATATCAACGGGTAAACTTGCCTCATTCAACAAAGAAAAAAGAAGAACCTCTTTCGTGCAATCTAGAACGCCATATTCTGGGTGATGCAGACGGTGCTCGTTGACTTGGAGACGCTGCCGACAGATGGCGTATGCATCAAAGGCGTGCCGCGCCGATTCGGCTTTCGATAGCAGACAATCTAGCGAAAGTCTTTCTATACATACGCCATCTGTCGGCAGCGTCTCCAAGCTTCACAAACACCGTCTGCGTCGCCCGGGAAATGGCGCCGTAGATTACCCAAAACAGGTTGTCCTTTTTTCTTTCTTGAACGAGGTAAGTTTATCCGTTGATATTTAAACTTTATGTGTGCACCACCTAGCCACATTTCTGTTGTAAATCCCAACACAATACGTTGAGAAACCAATTTTTGCAGACAGTCCAGTGTGGGATGGAAGCGTTAGTGTACATGCTGTAGAATACAGCTGGTGCAGTGGCGGTTGTACACACAGCACAGTTTTTTTTGTAAGGGTCCTATTGCTGCAGCGGAGTTTACAACAAAGTTTACACATAGTATTAATGAACCCTGCCTTATCTTTTTTTCCTTTTTTTAAAAACACATTAATTTGACTACTGTTTGTGTCGCTCATAGTGGCTGTACTCTATTTTTAGTGAGTACAAACTATACTAGCTTAAAATTTTGAAAATTCCAAGGGAAATCATTTACCTTCCGAGTGTAGAAAGGAGATTGTGGCCTCTCCTAGGGACGACCACGGTTCTGGGGCTTTACTAAGACAAATGTAAAACGTCCAGGGATTTTTTTTGTTGTTGTTGTCATTGTAACTGCATTTCATTTATCTAGAGGTTTACTGTATAAATCCTAAACTGTAAAGACTGCACCAGGTTGATGTTTTATATTTTCCTTTTTTTAAATCCGGGAATGTGGGTTCATAATTAACGGAGCTTAAAATGCACCACATAGGTTTACCTGTGTATTTGTTTGTTGCTCTTTGGTGTGCTGGAACGAAGGGCGTGTCTTTCAGCTGGCGCTCCATTGACCGGTACATAGACGAGCAGTTCAACCAGTTCTTCAAGGACGAGAGCGGACTCAACCGCAAGAACATCGTGGACAACCGGGTCCACTGCTGCCTCTACTTCATCCCCCCCTGGGGGCATGGGTCAGTGCGGTTCGCCCCTGCTGTCATCGCGGAGCGGGTAGTATACCAGGTGGATCGAACCGTCGGCCGGCACAAGGCTGCCAATGCAAAACCGTAGACTTCAAGAATATTGTTTGTGTTTTTACATTGCCAGCCTTGTGACTGTCACAGGAGTGGAAAGTGTAGCGCACCCCCATGCTTCAGACGTGCTTGAAGTCTTCCAAGATTGACTGATTAAGGGGGTTTTCGATAAACGCTTGGAAAGTTTCTAATTAGAACCGTATGTTTATTTTCACTAATTAAAAATTAGTGAAAATTATTTATTTATCTAAGTAGTCGTCATGCGCAAATAGTGGATTTTGAGTTTGAAGCGAATAGTGGTTTTGGCCAAATATTTTCTACTCTAATATTGATTTCTTCGAGCTGTTTACACCGTGCTTGAACAAAGACCCAACTAAACTCGTGAAGGTAGTTCCCAAGCTTCCACTTGTCCATTTATAGGCTAATTTTAATCTAACTATATTTATGGACTGTGACCTCAGGAAGTTCGATGCCTTGGGATGGCAAGTAAATGACGGATTTGACATCAAAATAAATCTATAGAGATGCGCAGCTGTACTGAAGTGGGTGGAGTTACAAATCTTATTAGGCAAACTATTTTTCTTGAATCTCTATAAAAAATAAAAAAGAATCACGAATGATGAACACAGGTTGTCAGGGCATCTGTGCCTAACATGTAGTCTTGCATAACAGAGACAGTTCAATCTTAAAAGTTTTACTGCAGTATAGATACCAACATTCCCAAAGTTTCAGTTTTTTTTTTTTTTAAAGGGGCCATGCAACAGTATTGGCTAGGAATATTTCTCACTTTACACCAGCTTGCTTTCACTAGTGGAACCCAAGAATACTTGAATGCAACACCACTAGCCAAGGAGCATCTTCGTGGCAGTGAAATTTCAAGAATAAAAGCAGACCTTTTCTCTTGGTCTCAACTTCGCAAAACTTGACGACGCAGCTGCGGGGAAGACGACTATGCGATCCCCGGGTCTACGTCATCAAGCTTCGCGATCCCCGCTGTGACGATCTTTAAATGCGGCTCATACAGCGGACAGGAGCATTATGTAGACTTTCGATTTTGGCTCGTGACAATCAATGCCTCAACATGCATTCGGGTGGTGGCTCGTGCCCAATTGCTGCGATGACGGGAATAGCCGAACCTTAACGATGCGCGGAACGCAGCGCGCGCCCTGTGCTCTGCCAACCCCAGTATGTGGCCATGTTAAAAATATTGGTGGCATATAATCGAGTCCAGATCACGTGGCCGCTTTTTCTGGCTGCGAATTGCGGGGGTAAACGGTGTTCGGTTTTCTCGGATGTTTTCTACGACTGCCGTTGCTTGGTGATAAAACGTGTTTCATAGGTTACAAATGTCGAGGAATAATTCTAAGCTGTGTTTATCGAAAGTACAAAAAATGTTACATCGCCCCTTCAAATACACTAGGCACGCGTGTGCACCATCCTGCTTTGAAAGTGTGCGTTTCTCCCGGGCTCGCAATTGCGATACTCATATTTTTCCAAGTGTTGATTGCGCCGAATGACCCCCTTGAGTGTGCTTCTTACCATGCGCCGGTGCACTGCGGAGAAACAACACCTGCGGAGCTGGCACCTGTGGGTGTTGCTTCTCCGCAGTGCATCTGTGCGCAGTAAGATGTGTGCTCAATGGGGCTAACTCTGTTGAAAGTACAAAAATTCAAGGAAGATCGACACTTAAAAAAGTTTGAATATCGCAGTTTATCTCGAAGCAAATATGGAATAAAGTATATTATTCTAAACTACTATTCAAAATACTGATTACTCGCGCTAGACTACTAAAAAGTATGTTTTTGCAATATTTGAGGTGTCCCATGGCTCGCAGTTTGTTCATGAAAAGAGTTTTTTTTTTTTTTTTTTTTCTCAACGGCTTTATTGGTAGGAATTTCTAAAAGTCTTCTCTGAAATACCCGGTACAGTTGGCGACAAATTAGAAATGCCATAGATGCCCCTCCTCCAGCGCGAGCTCTCCGTCTTTGAAAACGCTTTGTCGCACACTCAGCCAGAGACTGGCGGAAGGCAACAAGTGCGCGCTGGAAGCAAACCGTCTACCGGGTTTTTAGCAGGTCACCCACTACAGCAGCTTGAGCTCATGCACCGGCTGGACATGCTCCAGCATGTCAGTGTGCACAAATGATTTCACTTAGATTACTGCAATCCTCCACATATTTGCAAATTTTCTGCCGCATCAGTTACACTCTGAGGCATCAATTTACTGTTATGCGTAGAGTGATAGTCTGAGGCTTTGGACAACTCGCACGAGGGAGGCTTTATTTTGAGTATGGTACGTTCCAGGCACCCTAAGTCGTCGGACCCCTTCTTTTCTTTTCATAGATAGAAAAGGCTAATTTTCACGTAAATGGTGCCACGCAGGGAGTGCTAGCTGAACTTGCGTGATCTCAAAGGCAACCTTGAGTGCCTTTTTGTTGAAGTCAGTGGAGGTTAACACCAGGACAAACGCACCTGTCAGCCACATCATCCTGGGAAGAAACTTCCTCATGGAGGATAAGCATCGCACTCTAGCGGGGTAGAGAGATGTGTAGATATGGTAGTGGCTGTACCATATCCGTCGACAACATGCAGAGCCTGCATGTTGTCGACCTCCGTCGAATCTTGTCTTGAATTTCTTCTCCCGTCAAGTTGGCTGTTGCTCAGCCGTTCTTAAAAGAATGTCCTTCCAAGTGTTTTGCACTGAGTTCCATCTTTTCGGGGGGTTTTTTGTGGTTCTTTTTTCAGGCTGAGACAGCTTGACATTGAGTTCATGAAAAGGCTGCACCAGAAGGTCAACATTGTTCCGGTTATCGCCAAGGCTGACACTCTGACGCCGGCCGAGATCAGAAACATGAAGGGCAGGGTAGGGACGCTCTTCCGCTGTGCCACCGTGGCGCGTGCCTTGGCCTCGCGTCTATGTGCAATTTCCCACAAGCCGCGCTTTGGCCCCGGCAGATCCTGCGGGAGTTGGAGGAGAACCAGGTGACTGTGTACCAGCTGCCAGACTGTGACAGCGACGAAGACGAGGACATCAAGCTACAGGACCGGGAGCTCAAGGTCGGGTCTCTCGACTCAGCAACATTATACAAGAGAAACATTTCTTTTGTTTGTACGCTCAGTTGTTAACCTTGACCTTTGTCCTTTGCTCATCTTGAATAACCAATGTCTTGCCTCGTTGCTCTTGTCTGCACTTAGTTGAGGGTAGGTTAGGCATTTTCTGTCAATTTTTTTGCAATGTTTGAAGGGAGCGCGGTAAATAATGAGGAAGACACAACGCCCAGCCACGAGAAATTGACGCCGACTGGGCATCCCAGTACAAATTGCGTTTCTGGGTGTCTACGTTATCACTGCCTCGTCACTCTTTTGTCTGATCTTTCCCACAAAACACAGGACTGGCAGACTTGCAAGGATTACTTGGCAATGTGCATTGCAGGAACAAGTGTGAGCCATGTTAGTAAAAAGGTGGAACCCCTTTGAGTAAATGAGGTGCTAGTAATTAACTCTGTTATCTTTGTGTACTAAAAGAACTCCTTTGGTGCAGTTTGCAGGATCTGTAGAAAAGCGAGTCTTTTTGTCGATGCGGCGGGCCAATATTTTTAATATGCCTCGTGGCAGCTGCTCATGGAGTTTACAGAGAATGTGAACCGCTAGCTTGTTGGCTAGCGGTTCACAGTGTGCCACACGAGTACTTTGCCCAATATGTGCACACTTGCAGAGGGTACAGTTACACGATGCAGGGCTGGGTTAGAATGAAAAGCTGCACTTTCTTACGACCTTTACATGGGGGGTTGTTCCTCCCTTCCACCGCAGCTCGTTAAGGTTGCTGCGACCTCACCCCTTCTACAGTGCTTTAGCTTGTTCTTAGAAGGCTCCCCAATCTTGCTGGGTTGGCCTCTTCACTCAGGGGTCGACTGGAGGAATTGGAGGACTATGGTTACATCTACAGGCCTTGTGGTTGTTTTCCATCAACTAGTTTATGAAAATTTTCCATAAATGAGTGTTCATTTATTGTAAGCCACAAATTTCTAAACCGGTGCACTGCAGTTGTTTTATACGAGTACATTGGCTCAGTTTTAATCACATGTGAACAGAACAATTGTTCAGGCTGTAGTCGGAAGGGTGGCTTTGTCGCGCGCGGTATAAAAACTCCCATTGCCGTAAGAAATGCCCCTGTCTGGCCCCACCGAGCATGACGCAACCCCGACGGCCGATTGGTATAGCCCGCACGAAGCTTCCGTCGCACTCTCTGTTTAGCAGTGAATGGTGGCAAGTACTATAAGCTTGTCAGTATGAGCTTGTTGTTAGTTTGTGTGTTGTGGTCAAACTGAATGGGTGGGCTAGTGAAGTTTTTTAGTATGTTGTGGTCACTGTGTGCGTGCTTTGATGAGGTGCGGCCGTGCATTTGCAGGAGAGCATCCCATTTGCGGTGATCTCGAGCACCCAGTTGGTGGACGTGAACGGCCGGAGGGTGCGCGGCAGGCTCTACCCGTGGGGCATCGTCGAAGGTGACGGGCGCCCGCCCGAGGCCCTTCTTTCCTGTCTCGTTTCGTGCGCTATGGTGGAGCATTTCCATTGTAGAGGCATCCGGGGAGAACATCTTTGCTACGTCAGGATCTTCCTTGCATACCTCAGATGCCTGCCAGTGTTACGGGCATAGTACTCTGCTTCATTATATCTACACCTTTTCCACGAGAGCCTCTATCCTAGAGAGATTCTAGTGTTGTAGTGCTTGTGATCGTCTGGTACTGCAAAGGGAATTTCTGACCACTCGGTACGAGCCAGTAATCCGAGGATAGGTTTGAAAGACCTTTTTAAATTCCTTTTTGTGTCTTCAACGATTGTTTCTTTGCAATCTTTATGTCAACAGTATCCCTTTTATTTTTTCTAAGTTGTCCTCAACTTTATTGTGGTGCATGATAAAGCTGGCCTAAAAAGCTATACTGAACTGAATTTGTTGTGCTTCTGAAACTGTTATGTAGTGATAGAAGCTTGCCACAAAGTCTGAACTGCAAGTGTTTGGATGCAGTGCCCACCTTGCTTGCACTTTGCTTCACTAGTTTGTAGCTGGTCTTGCCTTAACTGCATATGTTCCGAAGGTGCCAATCTTATCTTGGCTATCAACATTGGACGTGAGAAGGTGGCCCTAAGTGGGCCTCACTGTGCTCGCTGCTTTTTTTATGTTTGTGTCGGCACTCTTTTACCGCGATGGCAGAACCATCGCGGTTGAGCAGCTCGGCGTGGGTGACTCGCTCTGCTCTTGCATTGCAGTGGAGAATCCGAAGCACAGCGATTTCCTCAAGCTGCGGACCTTCCTTATTAGGTGAGTCCAGCCTGTCTCCAGAGCGCAGTCGGCGAGAGAAAGGCAGAGCCGTGTGGCGGTACGGTCGGAAGACGTGTGTGGAGGACACAGTGTTGCTCACACGGCCTTTGTGTTGTCTGTCTCTCTCTTTTGCCTCATGCTGCCTGTTGGTCGGCAACGGCAGAATAATCCTTGGTCTCTTCAGGTAGATGGCCTTGTACCTCACAAGCCTTCCTCCTGAGAACCTCCCCTCTTACCATATTTATTCGAATGCCATCCGACCCCCGACCGTTCCCGTTCGCTTGGCCACGCGTCTGGAAGGTTGTGGCGTAGTTGCTTTCGTCCCAAATGAGTATTGTATGCGTTCCTCTTGCGTCTTTTCTTTGAACGCTCACTGCCTAGATAGGCGAGGGCCAAGTTTGTGAAGGACACCTCCCGGAACGCGTCCGGATTGGCACGGGATTGGCTAGTTGCAGTGCCGGCCCATCAGTTTGATACTGTTTAGACTGCCCGATCGGTCGTGTGACCGATCCCCAGTCTTTCCGCAGAATGTAATTGCACGCGTGTTCCTCTGGCTTTGCTGTACGTTCAGGGTGGAAGGTTAATTTGAGCTGGTTGTTTGGATGGTCGCATTCTTCCCATACTTTTTGGGAACCTCAAAATCCATCTGCCGGCTGTGAAATTCGTTAGGAAAGTTGTAACAAACCTGTCATTCACCTAGACCGTTAGAAAGTAGTAGATGTGGTCACGATAGTACGAGAGCTGCGGCACGTAGTGTGAGCGCCGCTCCTTCGGGCCCGTCCGAAGCTCGAGATCAAGGTATTTTGTCGCAGCTCGATTTTCGTTCCCTTTCGGCCGGACAAACCGTTGTTCCGCGAAGGTGGCAAAATTCCAGACCCCCGTTTCCCCCATTCAAATAAATATGGTACACTCCAGTAGGCTCCAGACCCAGAGTCTGGGCTTTGGGAGGTTGTGCGTGCCTTGCGCCAAAAGCCGTGCCTCCCGTCCCTCTGCTTTCTCCTTCCAGCACGCACATGCAAGACCTGAAGGAAGTGACCCGCGATGTACACTACGAGAACTATCGTGCCCAGTACATCCACAAGATTTCTCAACAAGCGGCCCGCGAGCGGGGGTCAGTGGTCACGCCGGACGGCGGTCTCTTCTCTCTCTCTGCATGTGGGCCAGTCGTAGCCCAGCCTCTTTGGTGCCTGGAACATCTGTCCGACCGGCATGTTTACCACGTCCTGAATAGTGGTCCCCTGGATTCTGCCTGGTGGCATTATAGAAGTGTCACGCTATCGCCGGCCGCGATTTTGGCAACACCGCAGCAGCGGCGGTGAGGGTGGCAGATGCGCGTTTGCTCTCCCGTTCGACGGTCCACGAACGCTTCGGCAGCCGGGGTTTGGGACGCCGCGATGACGACGACGACACTCGCATCCTCTCGCGCTTTTTCCTGAAACTTGTACGCCCAACCGCCAGGATCGCGACGTCTGGCGGCATGACACTCCGGCTTTTGCGACGTTGCTCATTGCCAATCGGGGAGAAATAAAATGCTAAACACGCCGGTTGGAGACGGGTCCCAGGCGCCGTATCGCCTCCAAGCGAACCCATTCTCGGCTCTTGCACAGGAAACAGGGCAGGGATCCGGTGACCGCCACGACCTACGACGGGATTTCGGAGGCGGATCGCCTGCTGCAGATGAAGGATGAGGAGGTAGGTGCCCCTCGGCCGTGCCCTCTGAAGTGGCGCTCGATCTGGCTTAGCCCTTCGAACCAGCTCGAAGATTGCCAATCTTCGAACCAGCTCCAGGTTTTTGCGGTCGATTAAATCGACCGCAAAAATCGGTTTAACCTATCGCGCTACGCTTTTGTGCAGTGTCGCTCGCAGGTGGTGCATTTTTTCTACAAAATTTGCAAAGGTAGAGCGAACTTACCTTAGGAAAAAGTAAAGAAAAGGCTTAACTCCTATGGAAATGCAGCGGAGCCACTGGTCTTTAAACAATTGGGCGCTATTTGGCACGGGAGACAAGATGGCGCAAACGGTCGCAATGCCAACTGCCGCCAACAAATGAGTATACGGCGCCAGGAGCTGGCGTCGAATAGCAGACAACATTTAAGACTCGAACGTTGCACGAGCTTTTTCAATGCTAGTTGCCAATGCATAATTTTATCATCCTTACTAATAAAACACATTGAATGGACACATAATTGACTGAAAAACATGATTTGTCGGGTTATTTTGACTGTGTTTTTCGAGATACTTTATCGTCTGCTTTGTAGTTCCTTGTTGTTACCGCTTGTTTCTGCCTCTGCGACTGTCGCCGCCTGCGGAACACATGCCGCTTTTGAGTCGAGAAGATTGCCTGCTAATAACACCAGCTCTCGGCACCGTGCGCTCGTTCTTTGACGGCAGTGGATGTCGCGACCGCTTGTGCCATCTTGTCTCCTGTGCCAAATGGCACCCAATTGTTTGAAGACAGGTGACTTCGCTGCGTTTTTATAGGATTTAAACCTTTTTCTTTCGTTACCTTTTCCTCAGGCAAGTTTGCTCTGTGCAAATTTTATAGAAAATATGCACCACCTGTGGGCAAGGCTGCACAAAGTCGTAGCACGATAGGTTAGGAAACCAATTTTTGCGGTCGATTTAAAGAGCATGGCCGCTATTTGAGGCACCCTGTGTGCATGATGCAAACATGCTTCAAACGTGCTCGAGGCACGTTTACAAGCGTCGTCTGTGGACGTCTGTGGACTGTGTCATTGTGTCTACAGCAAACGTCTTTTGTACAACATGCAAACAGTCCGACCGTGGCCTCAAGATGCGCAGTGTCGCCTCACGTTGCCACCCCGCCTTTGCGGGCACCGGACTTCCTGCCTCACGACAAGCAACCCGTGTCCCCCCCTCCCCAGATTCGGCGCATGCAGGAGATGCTGTCGCAGATGCAGGAGAAGCTGCGCCAGACTAGCCACGACACCACCCCGGAGGCGTCCACCCCGGACCTGGACGCCCGGAGGAGCGACGGGGACAGCGTGGTCAACCTCTGAGGACCCTGCGGCGGCAAACACCCACTCTCTCTTCTGCTATGGGCCCCACCCCCGCCTTTGGTCCCACCCTCCCTTCACCCAAACCACAAGGCCTGGAACGCAGCTTCGACTGGCACGTTTACCACATCCAAAAAAGTGGTCCCTAGATTTCCACCCTGCGACACTAGAAAAATGTCACGTCTCCGGCCGCGGTCCCAGCGGTGTCGCGGCAGCAGCGGTGGATATGGCAGATGCTTGTTCTGCTGCAGGTTTCTGACGATCCACAGAAACTCCGGGAGCTCGGACGCTGCGACACTGGCGCTTGCTTCCGCCTTTTTCCAGAACCTCTACGACTAACCGCAGGGATCGCGACATCTGACAGCGTAACACTTTGGCTTTTGCAACGTCGCTCATTGCCACTTTGGACCATTTTCGATGCTAGGGCGGCATGGGACGTTACACAGTCAAGTTGGAGACGCGTTCCAGGTACCGTAGCCACGCCCTCCGAGTGAACTGCGACGAGGGTTTCCTTCACGCAGTCTCCACGCCCGTTCAAAGTGTGCGTTTTCCCGCCACGTCGACGTCTCGGGGCCTATGGGTCGGGGTCAACAAATGCCCTTCCACGACCGAGACTGACGTCGTGTCGCAGCTCGCTCGGAAGCGACGGCAAGACGTGTTGTCGTAGGGACATTTAATCAAAGTCCCGTCCCAACCTATTTATTTATTTCCGTCGCATTTCTCGCCAACCGGAATCCGGTGGATCCTCAGAGATCCGACAAAATATACGGTTCAATGGCGGCCGACTCGGCGGCGATATAAAGAAATGTCGTCGTCGCGCAGTCCTCGAGGGTATTTGACCGTTGTGGCGTGAGCTTGTCCTGAACTTCTTTTGTCTGCTTCACTGCTTGGAACCACGACTGGTATTCCTTCTGTAATCCTACCAGATCACACGTAGTACTCTAGGAATGCATTTCACTTCTGCACAAGATGTTGCACAGCATTTGCGTTGTTGCCACCCTCCTGCACGACTTATGGTTGACCTCCTCTTGACCCAAGGAGCCATTACCTTTCTTTCGACTACCTACATATTTTCCCGTGTCCAGTGATGTTTTAAGCGTATAGTCAAGGTGTGAATTAAGGATACGTTGATGCTTAAGAACATATGTGCTCAATGTCAGGTGGGGGATGCCCCCTCGCTTTTTTTCTGTACCAAATAAGTGTGTAGGCCTCGCACACAGCATGTGTGGGATCAAATACCGTGAGTAACTGAATACGACTTTGTAAACATACTATAAATTGACGGTGCACAACATTCCGACAATACCCTCGACTGGGAACTTCAGTTCGTTTTATGGTAGCTAGAGTCAAAATTGCGGGCATCAGAGTTGCTCCATATGTGGCCACGGAATACGTGCCATTTTGGGATCGTTCCATTTGACGACTCCGAAACAAAACCAGACTCGGAAGGAAGGCCATTCAGCTTTATCCATTGCGCCCCTGGGGAACAAAGTAGCAGTGTGTGCACTTGTTACCACATGGCGTCATTTAGCGACACCCCCTCCAGCTTGTCACGCTGTCCTTTGTAAAACGCTCCAGTTGCCTGCCTCTGTACCTAGTCACCGGACTGAGTGCTTTTCCCCCACATCTACTCCAAAGACCAAATCAAAGGCCTATGCTTAGTTTATTTATATATATATATATGTCGATCATTTAGAAGCATGACATTCCAGAGATTTTATTTACTCCTTCCCATTTACACTGACGTGCAGCTGTATGTCAATTATACACCCTTTGCATCGCTCTTCGTTTGACGGCGGAGCTTATTTATTCCGAAGCAGAATCATTTCCACTTCCGGCGAACATCCAGCTCTGCAGAGTGGCAGTTCTCGAAACATTCTGCAACCTATGGGAACCAAGTCACAATAAATGCTTTCATCCCAAAAAAAGTAGCATGTCGTTTAATAAAGCAGACACACGATTGAAGTGCAAGCTTTTATTCATTCTTTCATGTTTGCTGCATATATATAACGTATATATATATAACAGATTTGTACATGTATATATATGTGTATGTATATATTTATATATATTGTCATACTAGCAAAAAAAAAAAAAAGTTCACAGCACAAAAATAAAAGGACGCTTACAATCACAGCAATGGTCGTAGGACAAGTCGAGCTTTAAGAATGCACTCTGGACTTGTGGTGACAGACCGACCTGTCCAGGCAAAACCAAATGTTCCAATTCGTGCAAGTATTGTCTACGACATTGCAACGGCTTTCGAATCGTACAGCGGGGCGCTACAATGTTGCCACAGATCGCCAAACAAATTTCTTCAGACACATTTCGGACCAGGCTGAGGTGGATACGAACACCACCGGTCCCTGCCACCGAAGTGAAAAAAAAGTACAAAAAAAGATGCCCGGAACAGATGAGATTCCAAAAGTAGCGCCATCCAAAGTTCCAGCTACTTTCTACGACGTGAGGAGAAAATATACCAGTTGTAGTCGCGTCCGAACAATTCTGATCACACACCTAGGCCTAAGTATTTCTGTCTCTGTGGTTGGACGGCCGGTCACTGGCCGTTTGGTTAGAGCCTCGGCTCCGCTAGGACTAATGTGCCTGCGGAATCCCCATCTGTGCATTGTCGTGCCCAGCGACGCGTGTAGACGGGAGGAACACGAGGATGCGAGGAATATTTAACGACGAAGCTCGGCGCCGTCGGGGTAACTTAACGGAGTGCAAAAGAAACTTGCTGTACACCGACAAACTCGTGGAAAACATTCCATTTATTTACTAGCCTTTACACGGCGTTCGAAATATAAAAGTTGCAAGAGGGTTAAGGACTAAGGCCGGAACAAAAATATCACCGTCGTCATTCTTGGACTAGGATTCCTAGGCACAGGCTGCTCGCTCTCTCCACCCCGACCCCTGCGAACAGCTGAGTCCACGCGAGAAACACGAAATTATAGTGTGCTTCCCCGATGCATGCACTCCTCGCATGAACACAGTCAGTACCACCAGAGCAGCATAATGTGCGAGCCCCACCGTGCCAACAGTTCGCCACACCTCTTGCAAACGTAACAAAAGCACCGTGCTGGCAGCCTCGAAACGTCGGTACTGCCACGGCTGCAAACTACCGGAGTTGTCGACTCTGGTGTGACCGCAACACCTGTAGAGCGCCGTTCTATAATTACTGCCGGAATGAAAAAGGCAGGGAGGAGCTTCAGCGTGAGCCTCCCACCTCCGGCAAAGCTCGGGCGTCTTGCGAACCTCGAGCGTGCATGCGCAGCCGAGGCACGGCGAAAGGCCGCGAGCATGTGCCGGAGGCCGGGCGTTCTCATCTTGTTGGCGACTATAGTGCGTGCATGTAGAGCTAGCACTCGTTGGCCCGATGGGGCTCCGAGCAACAGACGAACGAGAGAATCGTGGCATAGGTGCGATTGTCACCCCAGGAAGATTCTGGTAGTGCGAAGCATCACTAGTTGCAGGTCAGTCACCACCCTACCTCAGATTTATTGCGCGGGCAAGCGTTCCTATACATACAAAACCACCCCCGATCCCACGGGGAACAAAACCTACGACGATGCACCTCGAGTGTTACGTCGACATTAAGGCGACCGGCACTCCCACGGGGCCCACTTCCTCTTCCAATTACTTGCACCAAGTGTTCCCGAAGCTTGGGAGTAAAACAAGCCATGACCGCAGTTAAACAGAGCGCGGTAGTAATTTGTCCTTTTTTTTGTTTCCTTCTCGAGCTGCACCATTCGAGGCAGGTTGCAGGTTGCGCAACTCTTAATGGTGAGCCATTGAGAACCTTGACCAAATCGTCGTCTGCCACAGGAAAGAAGAGAAAAAATGACTAACTGTTATTGCATCTACGCTTGCCGCGTGGCTCGGTATCTTTTAGCCCCAGTGTTGCGGTGGTAGCTTTAGAGTGCCTTGCAAAGGTGCTCGACGCTGCCGCACACAAATGGTATATTGCCCCGAGGAAACGGCAATGAGACCAGCTACAAACGCCGAATGGCACTGCACCCTCTGCACTTGCCAGACACCGAAAGCGACCCTCTGAAATTTGGACAAACTTCCACTCCCAACAAATTACGACGGTGCGGCGAATCCAGCCGCACGAAAACGCCCGCACGTTCAGAGAAGCATAAATCGACAGAAGCCACGACGAGCCAGTCGAACAAGGTTGACGTCATGCCGCGTGCCCGAACGTACGGGTCTCGAGTTCAAGTATCAACTTCGATTCGATTACATATTTTTTTTTTTCAGCCTCGACGAGAACAGGAGGCAGATAGAACACAACTACTCTCGTCCGACGTCCAGTCTTGAAGACTAGCATATCACAAAGACGGTCGCAGAACGACGCACGAGGGTGCCGTCGCAACGGACAAGAGGAACGAACCAAATGTGGGTTCACCATTAACTGAAGTACTACAAAGAAAACAAATGGCAGAATGGCTACACTAGAGTCCCCAGCCCCAGAAAGCAATGAAAAACTGGAAAGCGAAGATCAGGAGCTTGGCTGCACTGTCGCCCCATTGTCGGCGCCTGCGCGCGTCTCCAAAGTAAAAGCAGCCCATATTTGCCGGTAGAAAAGAGACCCGTGGCAGTTTTGGTAGGTCTAAGGCCACCGACAACTTCAGAAGTGCAAAGCGGGGCAAGTCCCGAGCGTCTTGTTGTGGCTCCACGGCTATTGCGATTGTAACATTGGCCGGTCAGAACGCCGACACACAAATTGCCAAGCAAGAAACGTAGACACAGTAAACCACGCCCCGCATTCTTTAGCTGTCTGTGGCTGTAGTACTCTAACCTACCAAATATGTTCCACTAAGAAGAACTGCTGTAGGACAACGAGCTAGTATGTCACCGGTTCTAACCCCTGCCAGCGTGTTGCAGACGGAAGGCATCCAACAACTAGCATACGTTGGGGACGACAAAAAAAAAAAAGTGAAAGTTGAGGGGAAAAAAAATTGTGGCTCTACAAATCACGAATAAGCGTGAGCAGTTGCAGTTTCAAGAACCTCGCCGATCACCTCGTGATGCGGGCAGGCAGTGAGAGCGGATCTCGCGTGTGAAAAGACGGTTCGGGGGAAAGGAGGCAAGGTTCCGGAACGGAGGAGTAGAGGGGGGGCGCCTGGGAGACACCGAGAGACCGGTCCTCCTTCCGGGGACGGGGCGCCTACTGCTGCAGCCCTCCGTTGTAGGCGTAGTCCGCCTTGTTGTGCATGATCAGCTTGTCGTCCACGAAGTAGAAGCTGTCGGACCGGGTCTCAAACGGGTTCGCAATCATCTCGTCACCTGCCGGAAGAGAACGCGGGATGTGGGGTCAACCCGAGGCTCTGTATACGGGCGAGTTTGGAGCGAGCATTTGCAAAAGGGCACCTGCCTGAAACACGTCTTTGACTGGTGTGTTTACCATACCGAAAGAAGTGGTCCTCCTATTTCCACCCTAAGATGTCATAAAAGCGTCACACTGTCGTTGGCTGCGATCCTGGCAGTGTCGCAGCAGGACAGCGGCGCTCGCATTCCTTCGTGCTTTACTCCCAGCCGCCAGGGTCATCTGATCCTGGCGGCTGGGGATCCAGAAAATAATTTATAAAAAAATTAACTATGCAGTGTAAACTAATTAAACTTTCTCGGAATACTCTCTAGATGTTGGTGGATGTACAGAGCGCGACACTGTTAGCGCGAACAAGCGATCGCCGATTTTTTCAGTTTTTCTCTTTGAAACCAAGGGATGTCATCCAAGTTGTTATTTCTACGGAAAGAGCTTGCTTAGTTTTATATTGTAGGCGATAAAATTTCGTGCTCGCTAATACTATTTAGAAGTAAAATGCGAAAATGCGCGGATGTCGTGTTCGCGCTAACAGTGTCGCGATGTGTACATACTGTAAACGACTTAATTTTCGTAGGCTCAAATTTTCGCAAATTGGGCCAAAGCTGAAAAGTTGAAATTATTTGCGGGTTCTAATTTTTGCGAATCGAGTGTAGCTTCCGTAGCGTTCACATATTGCCCGAATTGTTCGCGGGTTGTACTTCTCGCGAATTGTAGACGATTCGCGAAATTCGCAAAAATTTAGTCATTTACAGTATGTCATTTTTCAAAATCAACATTTTTGCAGAAAACTTTTTTTTCTGCATAGAGTCCCCCCTTAACATCACAGGTCTCAGCACACTTATTCAGCATTTTCTGTCACCGCTGCTTATCAGCCTTTTCTAGGTTCAACGAGCAAGCAACCGATTATTGCCGTGCAAAGTCGGAATTTTATATCTGCATATCGGGAAGCCTGAAAATGCAGCACCATCCCAACAAGGCAGTTCAGCAGTGGCTCGTGGGAATCTGAACTCAATTTCAATATGTTCTCCTCAACACTGGAGGTACCGCCTGTGTACACCGTACGTTTTCTGCAGGCGTGTGTAGACCACACAACCCTTGAGCCTTGCAAGGGCGTGACCACGGTTGTAAGGTTTGTTTTTGAGGCACTCTCAAAAATCTTTTTGAGAGGGGCCTGCAATGCCCTGTGTTTACCACATTTTATCCATTATTTCTGATGCATGCAGTCTGTGATCAAGACCCCGCAAGTCTGCTTTCCTGCAAACCATGACGAGAGTTGGTGAATAGAGTCTGCGGAGGGGCCTTGGTGTACGACTGGTCGGTGGTGACATTTCCGAGCAAAAGTGCCCTAACTGTGTCACGACGCTGAGCATACGGTGTTTGCCGTACCGAAAATACTGCTTAGATCGAAATTTTGGGAAGAACCAATTATATTCTTCGTTGTTTAGCTATGGATGTCGTTACAAAGGTTGCAACGACTGGCTCCCCAGACGTTCCGCGAAAAAGTAGATGCGCACATAGGAATATAAAAAATGTGTTAAAAATAAAATGAAAATAGAATGCTGGGAATGGAATGTAGGTCTACGAGACGTACGTGCTCGCCTTCCCCATATAAAAGATACAAAGTATATAACCAGAATGAGGCGTTGATAAACGCACTTGCAAGATGACATTTGTTTTAGACTTTTGCTTTAGAACAGTTACTGCTGAAGATGTCAGCATGTGCAGTGCGTAAACCTTGCATACCCTGCATTCTCCTTGATGCTTGTGTAATTTAGCAATAAATCTATTGGCATTATAAAGCAGTGTTTATTTTGCATGGCCAGAAAAGCTACGTATTGCAATGATTCAATTATTGTGATTCTTTTTTTCTAAACAAACTAAAAATTAGTGAAAAAAAAACAAAAACGAAAGCAACTGTTAAAAGTATGTTTCTTGATGAAGCAAGATGGCTTTGGTGAAATTAACAGGCTTGGAATGGAGGTGCAGACATTTGACATACCGATAAATATTAACCCTGGAAAAATCGACTTTACTACTATACAGGGTGTTTTTTTTTTAACTGCACCAAATTTTCAAAAAAAAAAGGGAACGTGAGATAGAGTAATTTAAGCCCTGCGTAAATGTTAATGGCCATGGCGGCCTCTAGAAAAAAGGTGAAATTAGGTAATTCGTTAGCTCATTACCTAGAATGTTTTAACCCACTTTTTAATTTTTTTACTTGAGGGCACATAATGTATTTAGAGAATTGAAGTTCGACCTCAATATGGTCTAGCCCTGCCATCAAAGTTTGGCTAAAAAATTTGTAGTAGGTGTTACGAGGTCAAGAAATTTCACTTTGGTACACGGCGTCAAACCGAAACTAAGCGAGAAAGAGCCGTGTATCGTCGTTATCGCAGCCAGCTTCGCCTAAGCAAGTGGAGCCGGCCGCAATAATAACAAATCGCATGCCCGAAAGGCCAGAGCGAAAACTTTACCGGCGCTCTTTCGAAATTCCGGCGCTAATTCGAAAAGTACAAATATTGCGGCAGTGTGTTTGCAGCCGTGCATCTATCAATACACGTGCCCCTGATGTATTCTGAAGTATTTAAAAATAAACGGAAACTTTGTAGATGTTGATATCTACACTGCAGTAAAATTTCCACAATTAAACTGGCATGAATGAGTATCTGTTTTTAGAGATTAGATGCCCTGACAACCTGTGTTAATCAAACATGATCGAAGAAAAGATAACTGCATATAGCTAGAGTATTTAAAAATCCCCTTGATTATGTATGTGTATGTATTTTATGTCAAATGTGTCATTTACTTGCCATCCCAATGTAGGCATTGGACTTTTTGAGACTACATTCAATAAATATAGTTTGAATAAAATTAGCTTATAAATGGAAAAACGAAAGCTTGGCAACAATTTTGCATGTTCAGTTGGCTTTTTGTTCAACCATGTTGCAGTTGTGTAAAGTTAGAATATTTGATATTCGATTCGATCGACCAAGACCACTACTCGCTGCCTGTTGTATAAGGTGTCTGAAATACCCCGGCTCGATCTAAAATGGACCGTAAGAATTGGCGCCTGCACGTAGCAATCTAAAATTTTTGTCAAAGGTGTATTTCACAAGTCGGTTTTATCACGCAAAATACAAAGCATAGCTCCCTTTCTGTAAAAAAAATAGGGCCAACAAACTTGCCAGGGTCAACAGCGGACGGCAACGCAGACGACAGGTTCGAGTGGTGGGGTGCGTTTGGCGCACATATTGATAGATGGCGCTACCTCCTTATCGAGGCTGCTCGATAAGGAGGTAGCGCCTCCTTATCGACAATGCGATGCAATGCAACAATGCAAAACTTTTAGTACCAAAAATTTTAAAAAATGTTGTTGCATAACGACGGTGCCGTCGGCGCTCTTGCTGCCGATAGATTTTGTCTGCGCGTTGTCAGCTTTCTTTCGCTGGTCAGCTACACCCTTTGGCGCTGCTCCCAACTCTACCCTTCTATGCTTTATAATTTTGCATGTTAAAACCAAGCTGTGAAATACATTTTTGATAAAAAGTTTAGATTGTTACGTGCAGGCGCCAATTTTTACGGCCCATTTTATATCGAGCTTGGTTATTTCAGACACTCTATTAATCCAAATTCTGGCATAATGGTCCATGTCTTTTGTAAAACAATCTTTTGCAGAGCTTCAGTGTCTATTTTGTTCTTCTTTACCAGAAATGACTGACTTTTGTTTGGCAATACCTACATTGGCTAGCTTAAGAAAAAACAACTCGGAAGCCCACAATTGTAAAAGCTCATTCACACACTCGAGTTTGCTTACAACTGAGTTCTTGCGATCTGTTACGACGAGCTGGCGCCATCTATGGAGGTGACTTCGGAACTGAATTTCACTAGAGCAAAGCTTTTTGCACTATTTGCGAGATCGAAATGTACATTCTATCTACAAAAAATAATAGTTTCCAACAATGTTTAAAATTTCCCCCCCAAAAAAATCTACAAAAATTTTTTTTTGAAGTATACGAAAACACGTTTGTTCCACGGCCATCCAACAGATGGTGCCAGTCTGCTGTTCTGGCAAGGGATATCGAGAGGTTTTTAGGCGCTCGGTCGTACGGAATTGCAAGTGAGCAAATGAGCCTTAAGAGACGGGGAGAGCGACGACGGAAGGACCAAGAGAAGCCACTCACAGAGGTCCTGGGAGAGGGAGGGGAACTCGTAGATGTGCTCGCAGGTGTTCTTGCTGTTGGGGATGCAGAAGCCAAACTCGAAGTCAAACGTCTTGAGCAGCTTGTCCCGGAAGAAGTGGCGCTCGATCATGCGGAACTTGCTCACCGGCTTGGCGCCCACCGTGAACTCCACCCTGCCGGGAGAGACCCGCCCCAATCGGCATTGCGCGTCGTTCACAAATGGGCTGTGGAATGCAAATGCGTCGTCGACCGTGGCACGCTCCACGCCTCGACCTTGCTACTAGAGCGTGCCGCCGTCTCACTTCCCACAACATTAGGCATGCTAATGCATGTGCCTTTTTGAGTCCTACTAGTCACTGACAGAATGAAAACGGCATTACCCGCCTTTCGAACGCTCGCTCCAGAACACATTTCGTGCCTTCCACTGTGCTTCGGCTGCGAGCACTCGAGGCGCACGAGATGTCCAGGCATTGTCAAAGGTAGGGAGCTGGCGCTGAAGGCGAGACAAGTGAAGCTACTTCTTGCCGTTCTCACCTTATCAGTGATCATAACTGCAAGTTTGCACCTTTTCCTTGCCTGGCCTGCACTGAAAATCACAATTTTGATACAGCTGCTTCTAGTGGTGTTACCGAGGCTTGTGCGAATATTTGAAATTTCAACTAGTAGTTTCGAATAAGATGCTATTCAATATTCGCTTCCAGATGAACTGATCGCGGTCGGTTAGCCCCATTGGGCGTGAGCCGACTTCCGTGGATGTTGCTTTTCCGAGGTGCACCGGTACTCATTGAGAGGCACGTACAACGGGGTTAACCAGCCGTGGTCATAGCTTCGAAAAGTACAAATATTGCACTCGCGTGGTTAGAAGGAAAACACTATCAAACAGGATGGTGTAAGCACATGCCTGGAGTACTTAAAAAAAAAAAGAAAAGGGAACTTTGCGAATGTTGATACATACACTACAGCAAAATCTCCAAAGTAAACTGTGGCTATTACGCGAGAGCACATGTCGGGCAGAGATCTCCTAACAACCTGCGTTCATCAATAACGATTGTCTTCTGTCTTTTTTTTCTCAGATGTAAGAAAGGATATTTTCGTATAGCGAGAATATTGCCACCCGCAGAGCCGAGAAGGCAACGCTCGGTCACGGTCTTCTAGAAGATTCCCGGTCATTCTCGCAGCAGACGTAACTTTCCTTCTGCTTTGTTATTCTCGAAAGTGCCAGTTCATCCTCGCCCCGAGCGCGCGACGCTCGAACCTTCTTTGCCGAACTTTCGAGATAGTGACGCAGGGTAGATAAGCGGCTCCCGCGACCTTGTCGAGTCAGTCTCAGTCTCGCTCGCGCTTTCTGTTTCGCCGCCGAGTCGCCGCCTGTTTTTCTGCTCCCTCGACGCTCTTTCGTTACTTACTTTTGGTTGGCACAAGTTCGCCCATTAAACCTTTATTTTCAGTTCAAGTTTCGCCTTCTCGTCGCCTTAATTCGTGACATTTCTGGTGGAGGTGCGGGGTACAAAACCCGTGCAGCGTACCCCTAGAAGAACTCGGTCAACAAGCCCCATTTCCCAACGACCTTCCGTTGAAGACTCAGAGCATCGTGCCAGCCGCCGTCTTCAAGGGCAAGCTCCTGAACTCGGACCCCCGCCGCGGAAATCAAAGAAGACCGCGACGATGACCGCTCCGCCCGTCGTTGTCCTGCCCGTCGCCCCCCGATCGCCGACAACTTTCCATGGCGAAATCTATGAAGACGTCGAGGACTGGATCCTTCACTATGAGCGCGTCGCCCGCCACAACGGATGGAACGCCGAGCAGCGCCTCCAGAACCTCTACTTCTCGCTGGAAGGCACCGCGAGGCACTGGTTCGAAAACCACGAGGCTTCGCTTACATCGTGGGATATCTGCGCTGCCGAGTTGAGGCGAACATTCTCGAACCAACACCGGCGACAGAATGCGGAGGATCTGCTCCAGACGCGGACACAAGCCCCCGACGAAAGCGTGACAAGCTACGTTGAAGACGTGCTACGACTCTGTACACGCGCCGACCCTCAAGCCACCGAGGAGAAGAAGTTGCGCTTCCTCATGAGGGGCGTCAAGAGTGAAATCTTCGGTGGCCTTGTCGGCAGCCCCCCGACGACGGTAGATGGCTTCGTGGCCGAGGCAACCAACATCGAGCGAGCGCTGTTGGCCAGAGCTGTGCACTATCAACGACGCACCGGTGTGTCAATGGTTCCGGCTGTCTCACCACCTCGCTCCGATGTCAATAGTATCGGCATCGAACACCTGCGGCAGATAATCCGCGACGTCGTTCGAGAAGAAATCAGGAAGGTTCTGCCCACTGCCGATCGCCCTGCCTCGCTTTCTATGGCGGAAGTAGTGCGGGAGGAGGTGCAGCGAGCCTTCCAGCAGGAGGCTCTCGTCGACCTGCCACCACCGGAACAACCAACGGTGAGCTACGCCGCCATGGCTCGACGACCGCCAGTTCCTGCCCGTCAACCTCCTGCGCCGCAACGACGAGACACACCAGCACCGCCGTACCTCCGACGTCTCGACGACCGACCTCAGTGCGTCCGGCGAGAGCAACCGGCACCCAGGAAAACTGACGTGTGGCGAACGGCCGACCGACGCCCGCTTTGTTACCATTGCGAAGAAGCCGATCATGTCTACCGCCGTTGCCCGTACCGGCAGCTGGGGTTACGAGGCTTCCACCCCGACGACCCGCGACCACGCTACGGAGAGCGACCTAGGGACATCGACGAATACCTCCGCCGTTCGCCATCCCCAGGACCGTCTCCCCGCCGCGGTTACCGATCGCCATCACCGCAACCCCTTGCATCGCCTCATCGTAGGTCCCGCCGAGAAAGCCTGTCCCCCCTGCCTCGCCGGGAAAACTGAGTGCGGCAATACCGGGAGGTGGTATTGCCGGTGACGAACGACGCCAATATCCTCCACATCCCCCGCATCGACGACACGCTGGACCGGCTGCGCCACTCCCGATACTTTTCGTCGATGGACCTTAAGAGTGGCTACTGGCAGATCGAAGTCGACGAACGAGACCGAGAAAAGACTGCTTTCGTCACGCCCGACGGACTGTTTGAGTTCAAGGTGATGCCCTTCGGACTGTGCACGGCGCCGGCAACGTTCCAACGTGTCATGGACACCGTCCTGGCAGGCCTCAAGTGGCAGGGCTGTCTCGTTTACCTCGATGACGTCGTGGTATTCTCGGCCAACTTCGACGAGCATTTACGACGCCTTCGGGCCGTTTTAGAGGCAATCAGGACCGCAGGACTCACCCTCAAGCCGACGAAGTGCCGGTTTGCCTACGGAGAACTGAAGTTCCTGGGCCACGTGGTGAGCAACGAAGGTGTAAGTCCTGACCCTGAGAAGACTCGCGCCGTAGCGGCCTTTCCACCGCCCACCGACAAAACTGCCGTCCGAAGATTCCTTGGACTTTGCGCATACTACCGGCGATTCGTTCAGGATTTCGCCAAGCTTTCTGCGCCGCTAACGCACCTTACGAAAGACGCCGTGAACTTCGACTGGGGTGAAGAACAACAACAGGCATTCGACGAACTAAAGCTACGGCTCCAGTCACCACCGATTCTCGGCCACTTCGACCAATCAGCCGAAACGGAGGTCCACACGGACGCCAGTAATACAGGACTCGGAGCGGTACTGGTCCAACGACAAGACGGTGCGGAGCGCGTGATCGCATACGCTAGCCGGACGCTGTCGAACGCGGAACGCAATTACTCAAAGACCGAGAAGGAATGTCTGGCCGTCGTCTGGGCCATCACGAAATTCCGCCCATACCTGTACGGGACTCCTTTTCGGGTGGTCACCGACCACCATTCGCTGTGTTGGTTAGCGAGCCTGAAGGACCCATCGGGACGCCTCGCTCGATGGAGCCTACGACTGCAAGAGTACGACGTAACCGTGGTCTACAAGTCAGGCCGAAAACACAGCGACGCCGACTGCCTGTCCAGAGCCCCTGTCGAGTCAGCTGCCGGATGTGCCAAAGACGACGACGACGACCACTTTCTTGGCGCGGTGAGCATTCACGGCATGGCAGCGCTCCAGCGGGACGATCCTGAGCTGCGTGCATTGATCGACCACTTGGAGGGACGAGGGGGTACGATTCCCCGAGCCTTCTCACGTGACCTGCCAAGATTCGCCGTCCGGAGAGGTATCCTCTATAAAGAAAACTTCGGGGACAACAACTCGACGTGGTTGTTAGTGATTCCTGCTAGTCTTCGAGAAGAGATCTTCCAAGCCTGCCACGACGACCCAACATCTGGTCACCTTGGCTACAGTAGGACCCTTGCTCGAATCCGAGAAAAATACTACTGGCCCAAGCTTCCGAAGACTGTCCACCTCTACGTCCGTTCGTGCCACGAATGCCAACGACGCAAGAAACCACCGACGAAGCCGGCAGGTCTCTTGCAACCGATCGCGCCCCCGACTGCACCATTCCAGCAGGTTGGAATGGATCTTCTCGGACCTTTCCCACCGTCGGCGCAGGGAAACCGGTGGATAATCGTGGCAACTGATTATCTCACCAGGTACGCCGAGACAAAAGCACTCCCGTCGGGGACCGCCGTGGAAGTAGCCAAATTCTTCGTGGAGTCTATCGTCCTCCGACACGGCGCTCCCCAAGTCCTGATTACGGACCGAGGATCCTCGTTCATGGCGCAACTGACACAAGAGATACTCCGCCTGAGCCACACCGACCACCGCCGGACCACGGCATACCACCCGCAGACCAATGGGCTGACGGAGCGACTAAACAAGACCATCTCCGACATGATTTCTATGTACGTGGACGTGGAACACAAGACGTGGGATGAAGTGCTGCCCTACGTCACGTTTGCGTACAACACGGCGATTCAAGAAACTACCGGCGTTACACCCTTTCAGCTGGTGCACGGCAGAAAGGTGACGACGATGCTCGACGCCATGCTGCCCCACGACCCGACGGATGACGGCACTGACGACGCCCAGCTGGTCACCCAACGAGCAGAAGAAGTACGCCAGCTAGCCCGTCTTCGAATAAAGGACCAGCAACGTGTGGACGCTGGCCGGTACAACCTTCGCCGCCGCGACGTGGAGTTCCAGCCCGGAGACAGGGTATGGGTGTGGACGCCCATTCGCCGCCGCGGCCTCAGCGAGAAACTGTTAAAACGCTACTTCGGACCCTACAAGGTCATCCGCCGCCTTGGGGACTTGAACTACGAGGTGCTCCCCGACGGAACTCGCCCATCAGGACGCCGCCAGCCACGACCCGAAGTCGTCCACGTAGTTCGAGTCAAGCCGTTCTACGCGCGTTAGGATTGTGAAACTGCATGTTTGTTTTGTTTCGCCGTAATTGTTTTAGCCATTTTCGTTTTCCTTTCGTTTTGCATCGGGGCGATGCACTTTTAAAGGGGGGATAATGCCACCCGCAGAGCCGAGAAGGCAACGCTCGGTCACGGTCTTCTAGAAGATTCCCGGTCATTCTCGCAGCAGACGTAACTTTCCTTCTGCTTTGTTATTCTCGAAAGTGCCAGTTCATCCTCGCCCCGAGCGCGCGACGCTCGAACCTTCTTTGCCGAACTTTCGAGATAGTGACGCAGGGTAGATAAGCGGCTCCCGCGACCTTGTCGAGTCAGTCTCAGTCTCGCTCGCGCTTTCTGTTTCGCCGCCGAGTCGCCGCCTGTTTTTCTGCTCCCTCGACGCTCTTTCGTTACTTACTTTTGGTTGGCACAAGTTCGCCCATTAAACCTTTATTTTCAGTTCAAGTTTCGCCTTCTCGTCGCCTTAATTCGTGACAATATTTACATAAATCTCGATTAGGTTTAGCAGGGTATCCTTAAGGGGGTATTCACTGGACGTCATATTTGAGGGCGATGTTTAGAGCACATGCTGAGAACGAGCTCACATTAATAGGCTGCTAAGACCGGCAACCTTGATGGTGCGAAAGGCGTGCTGCAGAAAAATTGCGGAAGCTTGCCATCAGCACGCGCAAAGCAGTTGTGCACACAGCAATGGCCGCCAGTGACTACTCCCTTTAGGTTTAAATTGCGCGACTACTTACGTGGCCCCTACTGTCTTCAGCTTGAGGAACTGTGGCGTGAATTGGTAGCGCACGAAGCGGCCGGCATTGGGGTCCTGACACTCTGCCTCACACTCCAGGTCTCCCTTATCCTCCATGTCTGAGAGAGGGAAAGAAAGAGAATGTTCGATACAGAATCCAGGAGAGAGCTCACATGCACTGCCATGGACCCGAGCCACTTTCGAGTCAACCTGATACAACAAAGGTTTGAGTTTCATTTTTGTACTCAAAGGTGGCTCAGTATGAAGGACATGTCTACTGGTATCCTCTGCATGATGTGCGCACTGCTCCTTTTCATCTTTTTGACCGTCAAGGCAACATGGCATTGAATGTGGAAAGCTCTCAGTGCAGAGTTTCGCTGAAACAGCGCATAGAAAATATTATGCAGAAGAAAGCGGTAAGAAACTGAGGGTTTTCAATAACCCTGCACATCCTTACGCAGTTTTTATAGGCATGCATCTAGACATAAAGAAATACCTCGTCTACATCTGGAGCCTATGTGTGTAAGTGCCCAAGTAAAAACAAGATCAAGTTTCAACCTCGGTCGGTGTCCATACCAAGGTTTGTGTGGCTATGTGTCCTCACCTGGTGTTGACGGGGGAGGGGGCTTTGCTATCTCGAAGAGCACCATGCCGCTCTCCATGTCCCGGATCTTGAAGCGGGTGAAGTCAATGTCGTGCACATTGGCATCCGGGGCGCACAGGTAGTCTGAGAACGACAAAAGGGAGCCTGGAGGTCAGTGAAGTGCGGTAAAGCGTGCCTCTGCTACCCAATGGCCACACTGTGCTTGCACAACTTCTATTTTTATTTCTGGAAAAAAACGAAAGCTACTCCCATTGCCTGTCAATGTGATTTGCATGCCCAAAAGTAAATATTTAGCTAGATAGCTGAACTAAAATGGCAACAGGTGGTTCCTTGCTCTGAAACAAGGGTGCTCTTACCACAATTTCCTCCAAAATATGCCGAATGCACTTCTGCGTTCATAAGCAAAGAAGAAAAAAAAAAAACAGAAACAAAAGGTTAGCAATTTTTTGTTCTAGTAGGAAGAAAAAGCAGTTAAATTAATTTTCAGGAAATCTGTCCGGAACATAATTTATAAATACATTTATTATTTATTTATAAATAAAATTTATAAATCCCGAGGTAATTTTAGGAGTAGAAATCTCAGTAGCTAGCTTATCCTCATCCAAAATTTAAGACAGATAAGGGCTGTATGCCCTTTTTCTTCGACAAGCAAACTATGAAGATAACTAAAGGCCGACCTAGAATCATTTTCTGCCAGGCAGAAAACCGGTTCTCAGTTCCCTCACGAATACTTAAAAGGATAAAACATTGAGGACAGGGACGGAAACAGGACTTCAGTTTCCTTCTCTCCTTTTCTTCCCACAGGAGTGGGTCTCTCAGCTGCTCCTCAGAAAGGAGGAGGGTCTTCCCCTTTTTCAAATGGAAAGAAGAAAGAGTCTTCTTTCTGGCTGCTCGTCGGCCATGAGGCGTTTTTATGCGTTCCGACCGCGTCGGCGTCTTCCTCGTCGAGGCACACTGCTCGAAACCGTCCACAAAAATGTGATGCATGCAAGCTGTCGGTGTCTGTCTCGGCCAGATCTCGGCGTTGATACCGGAAGTGGCTTGCCAGGCAAAGACCAATCAGAGACCGCGCAGGGCAAAAGCGAGACCAGGTGGACCTTCTGGAACAACCATGTCGGTCCCCGTACAGCAAAGTATATGATCTTAAGGCAATTAACGCAAAGGTGCAGGTGAGCTGGACAGAAGTAAACGATAATAGCCCCTGAAGAGGGGGAAAAAGGGGGACAAAGAACAAACACAAATCTCCATACACAACTAGGTGACTGGTGCGTGCCAAAAAAAAACGCCTAGTCCTGGTATCGAACCAGGGACCCCTCCATTTAAAGTGGAGTGCTCTACCAACTGACCTAACCAGAAGTTAGACGTGAGGAGAGTAAACTGGTGTCTAACACCAACAGGGGTGAATGGCCTGCATTTTAAGGTTATGATCTAAATGCAATTAATGCAAAGGTGCAGGTGTGCTGGACAGCTGGGCGGATTTTTTCAGCATGCACTAGTCACCTACTATGACAAGCTGGAGCTTCTTGACCCTTCGGACATTATGTGTGCCATGTAGATATGTGTAACTGCATTATCTTTCTAGCGCGAGCACGGTTTCAATGTGGCCAGGAGCAAGCAGACGACACGACAGCCACAAGTATTAAAGGAGCAATGCAACAATTTTTGTACTTTGCGCAAATACCGCTTAAAACGGATCCCTGACGTTAATGACCTATAAAACACGCGTTCGTTTTTCACCCCACGCAATAGAAGACTCAGAAAAAAATTAAAGAAAAATGAGCAGCGTTCACCCCCTCAACTCGCAGCCAGAACAAGCGGCCACGTGATCTGGAGCCGATTATATGCCGCCAGTGTTGATCATAGCCACGCGCTGGGGTTGGCAAAGCGCAGGACACGCGCTGAGTTCCAGACATTGTTATGGCTCGGCTGTTGTCGCCGTTGCAGCGATTGGACACGGGTCACAACCCGAATGCTTCTCGAGCTAGCAATTGTCACGAGCACAAGTCGAGTGCCCACGCAATGGTCGGGTCCAATCTATGAACCGCATTCAAATATCGTCACTTGGGTGTACTGCAATCCCCGAGTTACGTCATCAAATTTTGCAAAGGAGAGATTGAATGAAAATGATCGCTTTTGTCCTTGAAATTACACCGCAGCAAAGGAGTTTCTTGGCCAATGGCGTTGCGTGTGAGTATCCTTGAGTCCCTGGTGTGCCAGTAAGCTCGTGTACAGAGAAAAACATTCCAAATGAATATCGTTGCACAGCTCCTTTAAGCCCGCGCCATCTGTGTGCGCACGCTTCCAAGAGATTTGGGAGATGTACGGCACATGTGCCGTACATATCCAAATCGCTTGGAAGCGTGACGGACGCGACGGGCACGGGTTGTCGTGTCTCTTACAAAGTGACATTCGCTTCTCCCACAATTCTTCAAGTAAACAATTTCAGACCATTGTGATAGTCTGCTCCGCAAGAAGTGCATATACAGTTACTCTAAAGGGAAAGGGCGACGAGCGCCAGGCTCCGGCGACCCCAGGTAGGTTTGGAAGCCTCGCCCCGCCGTCTTCGACCGCTCGGGCAAACGAGGGGCGAGCTGCTGCTGTCCGCACGCTGTCGGTCATTAGCACCCGCTAACGGCCGCCCAATTGGTATGCGCTGCCACAGAGCCCGACCGCTAGCACGGGCATTCCACGGGGGTGGGAGGGCACAAACAACCACGTCTAACAAGTCCGGCAATGTTGGTGGGAAAGGGGACCTTTTATCCCTCGCCCAAAGCTTCAAGGGAAGCTTGCACACTTGGAAGTTGATTATGCGACGACACGTGTCCTTGGCACAGCAGACATCGTTTACCTGCCGCCATGGACTTGAACCCATTCATAATTATTCAAATCGTCCCGCGTGTGCGCAGGTGAGTGTAAAGGTATGTCGTGGTTCGTTGCTGCAGCACTCTTCACTCTACTGTGAATATTTTGTTTTGTTTTTAACCACTTGGGGCATTCAAAAGTTAAAAAGCCAATGAAAAGAAAAAAAAAAAAAATGTTTAAACAATCTGGTTGGGACATGCGTGTCAAAAAATAAATTTTTACGCAATTTTTTTTTTTTTTGTTAGAGCAATATTGTAGGCGCGAGACGTGATTTAGTTGGAAGTCACCTCCTTTCCACTCGTTTTCTCTCGGAATTTTGGGCGCGCGGAGAAAAGGTGGATCGGCTTGACCGACACGTTTCGGTGGAGGGAGTGTATGACCATCTCGTTAAGGTGGAAAGACTGTATGACCATTCCATGACTTCATGGAAATTGCGCGTGGAATTTAAAACAAATCTCGCGCCGTCAATATTGCTCTAAAATTTTATTTTTTGCGTAAAATTCATTTTTTGACACGCGTGTCTCAGCCAAGCTGTTTAACAAATTCACTTTTTTTTTTTTTTCAGTGGCCCTTTAGTGCCAGCATTCGGCTCCCCGTCTGCGATAATTGCACGTTGCGAACTAGAGCAGTATGTGAGGCAGCCAGCTTTGAAGTAGCCGGTCTTTGAGACAGTCATTGCCTCTGTCCGACTAAAAATTAAGAAACTAATCTTTCATATGGTACCTAGTTCTGAAGACTAATTTTTTACAAATATTGCACTGTAGACGTCCAGTATAGGATTGAAGACTTTGCGTTTATTTTAACCTTACGGCATTGAGCAATGTTGGAAAATCACATATTTTATCTCCAATATTGTCCCCTCTGTCCCCTCAGAGTACACTCTGTCGTCATCCGTGCTGCTTCATAGTTCTGATGATACTGTGCAAGAACATCTACAAAAAAAAAAAAAAAAGCTTTTATTTATGTGTTTAAATACCTTAAAGAAATACTACAACGAAATTTCGGCGCTCATTTTTTGGTCTATATGTGTTCAAAAGAGCAGTATCACATGGAACATACCAATATCTTGTTAAAAAAGTCCGAAAAGGAATTTTAAAACGAATTAAACGATTAGCAAAGAGCACCTGGTGGATGTTGCTAACGCCTCGCTTGTAATGCCCATCTAGGAACCTTGACAGCTAGTGACGGAGGTTGTCTCGTCTCCGGCCACGACGAGAGAAGGGGGGAAGGAGGAACTCCCCTCTTCCCGAGAATCCCTTTTGTGTTTCGCAGAAGTCGCTATTGTCCCCCTAGAAGATTATAGAAGATTAACCCGTCACTCAAAATTCGTACAAAAGCAGCCGCTTCGGTGGCTGGAACGACTAGGCCATCCTCTCGACGTCAGCCTCGCCGTAGCTTTGCTCGTCTTGAGACGACCTACGTCACGATTGCGTTGGATGTCACGTGCTCTAAGCTGGGCCTTCTCCGAGCACTTGCCAGAGTGGGCCGTTTATAACGAAAAATACAGCCACCAGGATCAAAATACAAACGTGCGATTGTCATTTACGGATATTGTGGATCATATTCAACCTATTTTTGAACACGACGGGAATATTTCAAATTTCGTTGAAGTATCCCTTTAAGAACCCTGAGTCAGGGATAAGGGAGTGGGTTAAAAATAATGAGGTTAACATTTGGCGGAACGAATCGATGTCTTGAGCAGAGACAATGGCTTCGGGCAGGCCATTCCAGTCTACAGATGTCGCCGGGAAAAAAGATTTAGGGAATGCTGTATTTCGAGGCGATACTAGAATTGTGTTAGTGGTTCACATGCGTGATGGTGCACATTCACTCCCTTATCTTGCTTTTGTTTTTTCTGCCTGAAGTGGAGCTACACGGCAGTTTAACCTAAGCAATATGGCCGACGCGCAAGGAACTGGATGCCAGGCATTTCCCAGGAAATTTTGTTCCGGATGCAAGTCACATCGAAACACAAAAGAGCCAGGACTCTGAATGCGATTTTAACTGTTGGCACATCTAGGAGGAACCATCGATTTTGTGTTGAGCGTATGTTTATACAGCTGGAAGTTAGTCCACTCTACAAGGTGTCTGGTGTCTTAATGAGAAATTCAGCCAGTGCAGTGCAACCCCTAACCTGGGGTCTTTAACGTGCACCTTGCAGTAGTGATACACGACCGGATGCCGGTACGATGCTCATCCAAATCGTAACGGGCAGGGGTGGGGATTGAAACCAGGATCTCTGGTTCTGCAGCGCGAGCTTT